ACAAAGCAGCTCTCAGTGGCCCTGCTTCCCTCATCCCCCAAGTGATAGCTGTGGGGGTTTTCTCTGTTTTAGGGGATCTGCAGCTCAGCACCCTTTTATGTTTTGGTTCTTTGCATTACTATATACATATTAGGGTCAGCTTCTCAATTTCTACAAAAAAACTGCAGGGATTTTTATTGCAATTATGTTGAAATTATAGATCAATTTGGGAAGAACTGTCAGCTTGGCAATTTGGGATGTTTCCATCCATGAACATGAAGTGTCTTCCCAGTTCTTCAGAGCTTCTTCATTTTCGTCAGCATTTTGTGTTTTTCAGTGCACATGTCTTGCACTTCAGATGTTAGATTTGTTTCCACATATTTTATTCTTTTAGATAGCATCGTGACTAGAATTTTTCTTCATTTCATATTTTCATTGTTCACACTACAAATGGCAATGATTTTTGCATGTCGATCTTACATCCTGTGACCTTTCTAAAATCACTGGTTACCTCTCATTTCTTTGTTCTGCGCATGGATTACTTGGGATTTTTCTACATACACAATTATCTTATCTGTGAGTAAAGAAAGCTTACTACCTCTTTTCCAACCTGGGCACCTTGCTTTGTTTTCTGTAATTTTATATCCTACGGGGCAGGACTGTGAGCACCTGATCTCTAGTGCTGGGGTTTGTCAGAGTCTCAGTAGCACTTGAGACTCAGCTGATCTGCTTGCCGTGGCACTGATGAACTTGGTGTGCAAGTCAGGGCATCCTGAAGATATTCTTTAAAAGAGAGGGTGCACTGGAGGCCGTCTGTTCCCTCCTCTGGGCTGTGACTCATGACAGCAAGGCCTTGATGGCTATTGTTGGAAAGCCCCGGAACAGAGCCTTCTTCTCTGTGAAATGTTGGGAGTGGGGGAGTTGATTACATGTCCTCATGCGACTTGTTCCCATAGAATTTATAATTGTGCAGTCTTAATAAACCCATGAATCAGTTTATGGTTATAGCATCCTTAAGGGGCATCTTTCAAATTTCTGTATGTACAACCTATTCTAGTAGAAGAATTGTACACGAAAATATCCTGAAGTAGTGGTCTTTGGGTTACAGTTTGTAGAAGCAATCATTACATTTAAATACAAAAGAGCTAAGTCATTTAGACATGCTTTTTAAAGCTGAAAATAAGGGAAGTTTTACTTCTGTTCTTAGAGCTTTAAAAGAGAGAAAATCCACATGTAGAAACACTTCATTACTGAAATGTTCATTAAAGAAAACAAAACTTCCTTTTTCCATTTGTCACCCAAGATTAATAAAAGGGCTTTAGAGAAGTTAAGTTGCTGTTGTAGCTGATTTACTTTGTGGTTAAGTTACTTTCCCGTTGACTCAGCAAATGCTCCAGCTTGTTTTGCTGATGACCAGAAGTTGCAAAGGTCAGGACTAGTCTGGCAAGAGTCAATCTGGTTTCTAAGATAAGAAACTGGTGTTTGGCCTGTTTCCTCAGCAGGGAACCTCTGCTTGGTGGGGAGGAGATGTGGAGGTGGAGGGAGAACCTCACCCTCCCCAGAGGGCACTGACTCCCCTCAGGTACCCAAGTCCTGTTGATGAAGCCATCACTGCTCGCCCTCACGCACATCTGGGGAGGGGCGGGCCCTGAGGCTGACAGTAACTGAACTCAGGGGGAGACTGACAGGAGGGCATCTTTGGGCATTGGCGTGTCCAGATCTGCCCACCTCTGAGCCCAACAGTCATTGGAGGTGAGCGATGGGGGCCAGTCCTCCCCGCTGCACCCCACCAATTGCCCAACTGTGAGCATCACTGGTAAAGATGAATTTTTTTCTTCTCCAGTCAGTTTGTATTATTTTGGAGTGAGTTGGTAACAGAATCAGGGTAAATATTTCTAATGTGACAAATGGTGAGTTTGTATGCCATAAGGAATGAAAATGTGAGAAGCCTCTAAGAAGTGTCAAGTTCTCTCAGCCAGCCTGCTGCCCACTTCCTACACAGCCACCCAGGGGTGCAGGGGAAAGCGTGGCCATGTTTACAGTGCACCCGTGGGAACTCAGGCTCCAGGCCAGTCAAGCAACCTGCCCTATTGCTCAAGGACGGTGTGTGGGACAGGGTCCTGTCCAGCCTTTGCCGCTGGCTATGTCCCTGATCCTGAGACCCTGCCCCTCACTTCTCCTTCCTATTCAGTAAAAAAAGTCAGGAAAACGAGGCAGGGTGGGGTGGAGGGAGAAGAGGGGAGAAAAGGAAAAAAAGCACAAAGAACCCTCACAAGGCACATCTAGTCTCCACCTGCAGGTCACGAGTGTTTCTGTATTTCTCCTGCCTTGTTGGCCGACCCCCTGGCCCTGGCCAAGCCTGGCTGAAGACAAAGACCCAGCCTGTTCCTCTGTTTTCTCTCCCCCATTGTTGGCCTGTAAGAGCCACTTACGAAAGCACTTAGAGTTTACACAAAAGAGAACTTGAAAGGCTATTTTTAGTTCATGCTCAGAAGACAGTACCCGAGTTTGCTAGCGTGGAGCCCCTGAACGTCCGTTCTTTCAAAACTTTCAGACATTCAAACATGGCTGAGAGGACACTGGGGTTGCAAAGTTCTGTGAGATTTCCAGTGTCTGAATGATGGAGATCCTGCTTGTTTTCCTCCTGGGAAAAGCACATGGGTTGTGAAGGGGCTGCTCCTCACACCCCGGGTGACGCAGGCCTCAGTGCATGGCTGCAGGTGGACGAAGGGCCTTTCTCTGTTTGCCGAGGTCTCAGGAAAAGCCAGAAGCCACCCCTGCCTCACTTCTCTACTTTCCTTGGCGGACCTGGTCCAGGCATCCCAGCCCTCCTCAGGCCACGCAGCACACACGCAGCAAACAGGACAGGGCCCGGGCCGCCGTGGGGATCTGATGAACTACTCATTATATATTTGTTGACATTAAATAACTAAAAGTGGAACTATGAAACAGAGTACAGTAAGCCCTCACTAAACAGCCTCGATAGGTCCTTGGAAACTGTGGCTTAAGCAAAGCGACATACGATGAAACTATCTTTACCAGAACTTTACCAGCTAAACAAGAACGAAGTTCCTACATCTTACAACCTTCTAAATAAAAGACCCAAAACACTCCTAATATTAAACACGGAATAAATGAGAGCTTTACATACATTTAAGAGAAAAGAATAAAAACATCTAAGATGACGATTTTCCAGCCCACTGATTCCAGTGGATGGACCCTTCCCCAGCTGCGCAGGGCACCAGGCGGGACCACCCTGGATGGGACCTGCTCCCTCGCAGGTCCACTCACCCACACTCCCTCCGCCTGGGACGGTGCAGCCCACAGACTCGCCTCACGTCCACATCTCTGTGATGCGATAGGAGACCAGGGTCCCTGGAGAAAACCCACACAGACCCGGGGAGACAGTGCCAACTCCACGCAGAGGGTGACCCTGGCCCCAAACCAATTTTATTCTCATTAATGTTACAATGAAATGATGTTATTCAAGGACCTGCTGTATATTAGCTGGTTAATATGAAATTTATATAAAGCTTCCAAATAAGTTTTTTTAATTTGTTCACAGACATGAACACGCCTTTAACGTTAGGCTTGTTTGTGTGTTTTTGCTTGAACTAACCAGGCAGCTCCTGATTGAGACTATAATGATGAGTTATTCACATTCTCCATAGTCACCGTCAACAAGAAACTTTGCTCAAGGAAAGAGCATAAAAAACAACTGATTTTGATTTTTTAAAAACAACTATTCAAAAATTTCTAACAGTAGAAATGATTTTCCTATTCTTTCACTGATAAAATGTGATGCTGGCATTTCTTGTAACAGTGCAGATTCTTTTTCTACCCTCAGAACTTTCTAGTATGGGCACTTCACAGTAACAGGGGAGCTGCTTACCCTGGAGTCAGGGACACCGGGGCTGGCAGTCAGGACCAGGATCCACGCTGGGAAGGCCACGGCCCCGGGCCTGGTGCAGAAGCTGATCCTCACAGGCTGCGGTGGCCTGCATGAGGCTCCGGCAGTAGTCCCAGGCCAGTCGTGCTGCCCCGAGGGCTGAGGAATCAACTGACCGCATCAGGCTGCTGCTCTTGTGAGCAGAGTAAGGTAGCCGCTGCCTGCCTCAGTCTGCCCGTCTGTGATGTAGAGCTAATAGTACCTGGTAGGGTTGTTGGGAGGACTGAGTGAGAGCTGTGCCTGGCACATAGTAAGTACCATCTCCGTTTTTTAATTACATTAAAAAGGTTTGCCCCTGGCTGGATAGCTCAGTTGGTTAAAGCGTGGTCCTGAAACACCAAGGCTGCAGGTTTGATCTGAGGTCAGGGCAAATACTAGAATCAACCAATGAATGCACCAATAAATGAAACAACAAATTGATGTCTCTCTCTCTCTCTTTCCCCCCTCCCCCCTTAAAAATCAATAAGTAAAAATACTGGAAAAAAAAAGGCCGAGAGGCCCTGGCACAGACCCTGCAGTCCCATGCTTGGAACCAGCCAGAAGCAGATGGTTTGGAATTGTCATTCCTGCCTCCTCTAGGTGTGGGCCACCACAGACCACTCTCATGAAGTGAGACCTTGGCAGCCTCACTTCATGACCCGCACAGGACAATGGCACTGGCACCGTGGTTGTGATGCAGATGCACAGGTTAGTCCTGTGAAGAGCTGGGAATGCGGCGGGTGCTCAGAGACAAGGCTGCTGCGAGGAAGGCCCGGGACGCGGGCGCAGGCGGTGGGGCACCAGGCCTGCCCCCTGCCGCGCCTGCCGCCCAGGCAGCAGAGTCCTCCCCTGTCCGACGCTCTCTGACAAGTCATCTGAAGTCCTCCCATTCACGCTGCACTTTTCAGCCTCTTCACATTTTCTGTTCTTCACCTTTGGTCTCTTCAGAATGTTTTTTCTGATTTTTAAGGAACACCCAAGAACTGCCAGAGCAAGTGCCTTAAGGGTCGGGCACCAAGGGAATGAATTCCTTCGCAAAGACACGAGGCTACCGGCGACCTGTCTCTCCAAGTCAACCAAGCACAACCCATCCTTCCTCATTCGTATTTTATTAGAGAGTTGTATCAAAGAATTAATCAGTTATGAAACTTTAAATATCAAAAGTCATTCTTATCAAACAGATGATTCACAAAAGAATATCAGATTTTTCTTAAGACCAGAAACTGTGTCAAATGTGACATTTCATTTTACAAATAGTTTTACATTTAATAGTCAGAAAAAAGATAGAGAACTTTAAAAAAAAACTTTGTGCAAATGTTAACATCAAGGAGCAGCTCTAGAGATGAAGCTGTTAAAGCTTAAATTTTAAAATCTGCAAGATAAGTGACATAAAATAAGTCTTCTCTTATTAAAATATAGTATCTATATCTCTTTCCACCATATACATACATATTTTTCTCTTTAAATAAATACTGTGTGTTTTTAACGACGACGCACTTAACAACAATCATCGGGTGCTTCCGGGCCGTGGCGTTCACTTGGCGAGGAAGACAGACACCAGAAACTCCGGGTGCAGGAGGGTCTCGGAGGCAGAGGAAGCTCTCTGGTTTGGGACTGTCAGTCGGATCTCCTTACACAAGGGCTTCTGAGGCTTCCAAGGAGTCGTCCGCAAACAGAAGTTCATCTGGCGGTGGGCTCCCCAAGGGTAGCGTGCTGCACTGGGACCAGGAGACCCCATTCCTTACAGGCCTGTCCTCCAGGAAAACACCGCTGGTGCCCACTGTCCCTGTTGCTGAGGCGGCAGAAGCCAGGTCTTCCCAGTTCTCGCTGCCCGCATTTAGAATGTACCTTCCCTCCTGAGGTCCATTCTCGTGCACCTGTGCCGTGACCACGCTGACTGCAGCTCGGGACGTGCAGGCAGCGATGATGGAGTCCGGGTCGATGTCCATGTCCAGCTGCGTGAGCGCGGGGCCCTCTGCCAGGCCCTCGCCGCTCTCTGGAAACTGGGTGTTGATGTAAACGACCTCAGCTTTGTCCTGCGCTTCTGGCAAACTTTCTAAGAGCTTTTCCAGATGCAGCCTCAACATAGAAAAGGTGGGCCGGTCCAAGGGCTCCGCCCTCCAGCAGGAGTGCATGATTCCATACCTACGAGCAGAGAGCACGAGTTACCTGAGTTACCTCAGCACTGAGCGTAGTCCACCCTGTTTCCCCCTCGTCTTGGGTTTTATCGCAGTTTAATCTACACTAAGTTTGCTTTTTGAAAATTACTGAAGTTCTCCTTGTGCCATAATATTTGGTTGGCTTGTATCAATGTTCCATGGTGTGTGATAGTACTCCTCTGTCTGCAGGAATACAGGACATACTATGGCCTATGGACCAAACCTGGCCCATGGTCTGTTTTGTGAATTAAGTTTTAGTGGACTACATACAGGTACATTGATTTGTTTCTGTGTGGCTGCTTCCACTGCAAAGGCAGAGTTAAGTAGTTGCCACAGAGACCATATGGACTCAAAATCAAAATTGTCTACTACTTGGCCCTTTACAGAAAAAGTGTGTTGCCCCCCGTTCTGCACCATCTGACTGGACTTGTCATCAGGAGAGCTGAGTAAGAAGGGCCTGGGGGGGGGGGGGATGAAGGAGTGTGTGCCTCACCAAGTGGGTGTTTGTGGGCACTGCTACACTTAATCTTTTCAACAGTCCTTGTTACGATGCAATGAGAAGGAGAGTGGGCTCAGGACGCTACAGAACATGCCATGGCTATGTGGGCAGCAGCGGGCAGTGGGGGAACTGGCTTCCGACCACCGGGGCTTGTCACCACACCCCTGCTGTGCTCAGCAGGGAAGGCTCCCTTCAGGGGCGTCCTCACTCCCTGTGAAACTAAGAATTATGGTGAAGGGACACTGACAGGAGCACCGCAAAACAGGGAGCTGACCGAATTGGGAAGACTGAGCTTCACCACCATTTCATTTGGATTCTTTTCTGTTTCCAGAAAATTGATATTCGTGGGTAAGGAAATGATCCAAATCTTAATCATCTGACACATGTAGTAGATTGCTGCTATCTTGTGAACCTAAATATGCAATTCCTATATTCACAAGTAATCACATCCTGTAGAACTTTGGCTAATTCTACTCACACACACGCACAGATAGATCTCATTCATGCAGATGCATGACAATCAATATCTGCACTTCTTACTTTTCAGCTTCTACCAACAAGGCATGGGCTTCTGGGAGGCGGTGAGCACAGGACCCTGAGCCACCAAACAGCAGGCCCGTGTCCCCGACAAGCCCAACTTGCTCCTGCATATCGGCTCAGCCTTCTGACTCTCCGTTTTACCTTCACAAGACAGATGCTAAGACTTGGCAAACAGCTTCTGTGTCCATGATTGAGGTTTTTATGGTGTAAATTGATTTGTATGGCTTCCTTGATTTCCACAGAGCCTTGACTGTTTGCAGTCTGAGATGAGCTTGGAGAAATTCTGTTCTTAGAGACACTTCCCTTTTATTAGGCCACGAAGGCACTGTTACTTAATTTATCATCATTTATTCCATGTCTTAGGAGAAAGTGTTTACACAGTCCAGCGATTTTCAACTGTGCGCTACAAGAATTTTTAAAACATGCAGTACCTGACTATTTAGTCAGGGGCACTGACCTCTTTTTCCTTAGGTTGTCAAATAAAAAAAATGACAACAGTCAACACAATAATAGGCATCTGATGTGAATGAATCAAAATTATGCCCATTTATTTTTGTAGGATTGGCAAAAATATATTTTTATGGTGCCACCAAGTTTTAGTAATTAGTTTGTGTGCCATGAGATGAAAAAGGTTGAAAATCGCTGACACAATCTAGATTCTTCTTCATACGACATTGTAACAATGTTACTTTCAAAGTTCTTTTCCTTTTCCTCTCAGCCCTTTATGAAACACATAACCACGTAAACACGACCTGCAGACACGGCAGCGCATGCGCTGCCTGAGCCACTCCCGCGGTGGTGGGCCTAGGGGGGCGGCAGCAGGGCCGTCCTTGGCCGGTAAGGGAGGCCTGAGATGGTCAGTGATTTCAACTTCAGATACGGGAAAAACCTGAAGTTTGGCAGGTGCCTTTGTAAATGGTCACGTTTGTTTTTCTAGTGCGACTTTTGTAAGAGATATAATCACAGAGGGTGCTGGGGCCGGGGGAGCAGAGGATGAGGTTATTGTGTCCCTGGGGACAGAGCTTCAGCTTCCTCAGATGAAAGGGCTCCGGAGCTGATGGTGGTGATGGCTGCACAGCAAGGCAAATGTACCTGCACTACTGAACTATGCATTTGAAAATCGTTAAGATGGTAAACAGTAGTTTTTTTTAAAAGGAGTTGAAAACATGCAATCATACAAATCTATACAATGTATGGACTTATGAATTTACCCACATTTGTCGGGCACCTGCTTTTCCCTGGCTCTGAGGGTGGCCGAATGTGTCACATCGGCTCAGAGAAGGGCCACCAGAGAGGCCGGCGTCCTGTTCGCAGCACATGTCTCTCTAGCGCTACTCGGGGTCTGAGCTCTGACAGCTGGTGCAGGGCAAGCCCCCCTGCCCTGCTTCCCGGGGCCTGAGATGCCACAGGTGGAAGCGGAGGGACTGATCAGTAAGTGCAGGAGGGTGTCCGGGAGGGGGAAGGCGGGTGCAAGCTGCGTGATGTCGACGTGCCACCATTTCCTCACGCACGGTGAGGGAGTGCAAGCACACGACGCCAGGCCCCGCCAGCCTGGGCTCCTCTGATTCCGTGGTGTTACTGGCAGGGCTGGAGGGCAGGGGCACTCTGAAGGATATCTGCCAGTTGATGTGGCGCAGTGGGATAAAGAAAGACCATGGTGGCTCCTGAGTGTCCCTGGAGGGTGAGGGCAGTGAGCGCCAATGCACGAACCACAGGGGTCAGCTGGTAGGGATGTCTGGCAGCAGGGAGGCCATGAGCTCAGCTGAGGAAATGCCCTACAGAGATGACGAGGGCATCGTACAGAGTGGCCTCTTGGGCCAGGGGAGAAGACCAGCCATCTGGTCAGTTGGAGGTGGGCGACACCCCGAGAAGAGGCAGCCTCGGAGGGCAGGATGGAGGAGCAGGGCACGGAGTGCGTTCTGTCACACCGTTACACTTCTTAGAGCTGGCCTCAAAAACACCGAGGGGCAAGGACCACAGGTGTGAACTCATCTCAGCTAAGGCTGGACAGCAAATGAAGGTGAGAAGCTCAGAAGTGTGTCTCATTTTTAAAAGAAAATGTCCCAGGTATGGAAAGAGAGGCCCCTTTGTTGGCCAGCATGCAGATAGGATGGGGGCCCAAGAAGGAGGCCTGGTTCCAGCCTGAGGTACAGGGCCAGCGGGAAGGGGGCGGCTCCCACGGGGCCACCCGACCCTCCTGACCACGTGGCGTGTGCCGACTCTGCAGCTCTCACCTAATTGCTCCTTCAGAAAACCGAGTCAGCGTTCTTCCTCTGGCTCTGCGCGAGGCCCCGAAAAACCACAGTGTGACACAGCCCAGACCTTGTTAAAGCCTCAGATAATCGCTGCGAATACTAACTGCTTGTGGTGCCAAACAGAAGCCAAGAAGGAAACAGCCACAAAACTCTTCATTCAGCATTGTTTGGGTAAAGCAGCTTCCCCCTTTTCAGAAGCAATATCTCATTCACGTGGCCTTTCAAAAACTACCACGAAACCCCAGATCTAACTTAATTAGGATTTCAGAATGTTTTTAAAGGGCTTCATGTTTTTTCTTTCTGTCGTTAACATTAGAGTTTACAACCTCAGTAACGACAGCCCCAGCCGCAAGGCAGGCTGAGGCCCTGACCAACGAAGCTCCCTTCTGGGAATGCCCACGCTCATGTGAGTTCTCCATGTGCATGTATTAAAATTTGATATCCTCCTGTTAAAAAAATAAAATAAAAGTAAAGCTTCCTTCTGTTTGGCTTGGATGAGGTCTGAGAGGCCTGCATGCCGCCTAACTTGGCGCTCCCCCGTGTGAGGGAGCAGGGCCAGAGTGGGGTGTGCGTGTGACCGTCGGGGGGGGGGTCCCACACATGCCCCCGCCCAGCAGTTCCGAGCCTGAGCCCACGCAGGCCTAAGGTCCTAAAATCTTGCCGAATATGGAGAAAATGTCTGTAACCCCTGTTATGTGGGGAAGGTACTCAACACTAGGAAGTTTTATATCACAAGCTGGAGGCAATGCCACAAGCAATTATTTTAAGAAGGTCAGCAAATGCTTTGGGCAGATGGGCCTGTAACGATGCTGTTACCAATCAGCACCACATGTGACTCGTGCTGTGTGCCTCCCGCAGGCTGAACACACCCTGCACGTTCTGGGACCCTCCCAACACCTCTGACGAATTCGATACTAGACTATAGGGAACCATTCCGAGTGGTGTGGCAATGTAGCCCAGCCCCCACTCAAGGCCAGTGGGGAGCGAGGTCCGGCACACCGGAGCCAGGCCCACAGATAGGTTCTCCCGTGGAGAATCCTAGGTACAGGCCTGCATTGTACCTAGGCTGCTATGAGACTTGATTTTGCTAAAACTCCCTCACCCTGGATTGAGGCAGCAATGTTTACTGCCTATCTCTAAAGTAACTTCCTAATGTCTGTGCTAAACCTGCCAAGTAAGGAGTGTAACCAGTTCAACCACCTTTCCCTTTGATCTGTAACATCCTTCTCTTTGAAGTAATCAGCAACATTCTTTCCTTTGTTTTCTGTAAAAGGTAATCACCTACAGCGAACCTGTGCATAGAAAATGAGGACCATCCTCAATGTAATGTATCCAGAAAAGCAATAAAAACCTGTCCAGGCAGGGGCTGGGGCCCTCTCTCTCACTTAGAGAGTGGCCATGCTGTCTCCTTTTCCCCACAGGACATCTGTAGTCCATGTGAATTTGTTCATTGTGGCCACAACACACGGATCCTGCCAGCCAGGGTCCGCATCACTACACTGTATCTGTGGCTAATAGTGAGGCACAGAGAGGTCAAGTCAGCTTCAAGGCCTCCTCCATGGGTAGCTGGAGGCAGCACCTGGCCCCTGCGCCTTGTGAGCCTGGGCCTGTCCCGCACTGCCCGCCCTGGAGAGGAGGGGCCTGTCAGGAACGGGCTGTGCACTGTGGGCCTGCACACCCAGAGCTGATGCTCTCGCACCGGGCTGAGAACCCGGTCTCCCGCAGAGTGCTTTAAGACATACACTCCTGGGCTCACTTTGCTCAAGCGGACTCTCAGTGCCCAGGCACAGAGCTGAGGAATCGCACAGTGAGGACACCCCTCGTGCGATTCTGACGGCCAGCCTGACCTCAGACCTCGGAGCCGTGGGCTTAGGTGTCTAGACTTCCTGAGCACAGACTTTACTGCAGTGTGTTTGTTTGGAACACTGCATACTCAGGGGGAGAAGCACGACAGCCGCTCAAGAGGGCAAGTGGCCATTCGGATTCCCACGTGCAGTACATCAGCCCATTCACCCAGGGAGTATTTCCTAGAGGTGCCTGCAGACCTGTGGGACGTGCTGGCCCACTGCACACGTGCACGCACCTCCTCTCCCACCAGGAGAGGCTCCAGCCTGGATGTGCCGCCTCTGTGCACACGGTCTGGCTGAAAATGGCCCCACTCCCTGTGGCTGTGTGTCCCCAGGTCTTCGAAGACCCACTGGCTGGCCCATAGAGGTGCCTGGTGACATGGAGAAGCTCACTCACAGTTCGTCCAGGCAGTCCTCTGGCTGCTTCAGCCTGTGGCCATGGAGAAGATAGTCGTATATCTCATGGTTCTGGATTCCGGGGTAGGGCATCATTCCCCGAGTTGCAATTTCCCACATGGTCACACCAAATGCCCACTGAGAACAAAGCAACAAGAAGTTCAGATGTGAGTCCTTTCAGAAAGGCTGAATGGACTTTTTCATTTGGAAAGGTCATTTCCGAAAGCCCTGATGACTGCACAAAGCTGACAATTGTGCCTGGGATGCTGCACTCCCAACACAGCAGCGACGTGGGGTTGGAGCGTCACAGCCCCTGTTTTCTGCTGAGGCTGCTCTGGGAACTCTGACAAAGCAGAGAGAGTCTCTTGAGTGCTTTCTTTCCTCATCTCTGGATGAAGGGGCAACCACACAGCACCTTTTCTATAGCATTTCGGTCCCACAGAGCCACTGCATGAACCTACTGAATTTAACATGAATATCTTAGTTGTGGGCAATACATCACTATATAGTAGCAAATGAAAATGGGACTACATTACGGGCTCATGTAAAGACAGATCTTTTGAATGTCAGGGGACATCACCAGAATCTAGGATTCCATCTGAATGAGTATCTAGCAATAAATATGAGAGATGTGAGCATGCCTCCAACAGTCGGTTTGTCAGAGTAAAATGTTTGGCAACACCAGCTAAGTCACTTCATTTAGCGTGGTTCACCTCTGAAACTCAAGGTCCTGAATCAAAATTTTGTACCTACCACGTCACTTTTACTGGTGTAGACTCGGTCCGCGAGGCTCTCTATTGCAATCCACTTCACAGGCATCTTAGCGATGCGGCCCTGGCGGTAGTAATCACCACTGTAAATCTTCTTAGAGAGGCCAAAGTCCGCAACACACACAGTCATGTCATCTCGCAACCTACAGAGAGGGAATTCGAGCCCTCAGACACGTCACAGGCAAAGCTTGAAAGCACAGGCCTGCATCACACACAGCTGAGAACAGGCATGCTAAGTGGCCCAAAGGCACAGACCCACCAGCCCGGGAGGGTCCTGCTTGGGGACCAAGGGCAGAGGGCCTGTGTGGGGATCTGGACCAGCAAGGCTGCCTGTGCACAAGGATGGAGATGCCCGGACGGGGGAGCGGAGCCACACAGGACGAGCAGAAGGAGCCCAGCTCAAATCCAAGCCTCTGTGACTTGAGTGCCTCAGCAGCCTTCCTGCCTGAACTTTGGAAGCGGCACTGGCTCTGTGGACCAAGGGAGCCTCCTGGCAGCTTGGGGAAAGTGGGGACGTACACTCCATGAGAGAGGACCCCGGACTCCCTGCAAACACGGCCAGGTGGTACTTGAGGAGTTACTTGAAAAAATTAAAGACATACAATCACATTTATAGCCCAACTTGTTAAAACACACCCTACACAAGAAGGAGAAGGAAGAGAAGAAATGAGTGGTCTGGAGGGAGGGCGGTGACTGTCCCTGCTTTCCCGACACTGACTTTTAAAACTAGATGTCCCACTCCCTGGGAGACCCTCAGTTCAGGGCAAACTGACAGCTGGTCACCCTATCTGGGAGGAAAAACATGTAGGAAATGTTAAGGGGAATAGAGATTTTCACAGGTCTCCCTCCACTGTAGAAAAACCATTTAAATAAAGAAAAACAAGACCCTTCCCGGCTTTCAAAAACTGGGGAACGTGTTTGGGGCTGGTCAGGAGGCGGGCAGGCCCCACTGCCATGGCTTCAACCACGAAGAGCGAATAAAAGCAACAAATTTCAGGAACATTCCCTCTCCTTGGAGCAGCAAATTAAAATCAAGACACAGCTATTCTCTTGGAGATTCACAGCAGACAGTGGCTCTGTTGGGGCAGGGTGAAGAGGGGAGAACATAAGCTCAAGGTCCTGCGTCCGTCCTGGTCGCCCTGGTCGGTGCAGAACAGAGCGTCTTCACGAGGCAGCACCACGAGAACTCAGGGACAGACCTTCCCGAGTTTCATTACTGACTGCAACAGCGACAGGCCACCCCTGCACCCCTGCCACAAACTCCAACACGGCGCAGCCCAACCCCCCAGGACGCAGCAGGACCCTTACATGCAGTTTCGAGCAGCTAAGTCTCGATGAAGGAAATTCCTGTTGCTCAGATACTCCATCCCCTGGGCGATGTCCACCATGAACTTCACCAGTGTCTGCACAGGAATATACTGGCAGATGGAGCAAGAAAGAAGATTACTTTTTAAAGAAAAACTTGCAAATTATCTCTGCCTGGGGGAAAACAGTGTTTTTACATCTTAAATATGTGGCTGTGAAACATGGAAACAAACCTTTCATTTCTGGATCACTAATAGCACAACTAAGGTTTTAAAAAAGGAATGAAAAAAAACAAGAAGACAAAAAACAAACACTAAAACTGATTGGCAGACATCACATTTTTTCCTCTCCCCACATTTAAAAGTACTGACAGTGAAGAACATTCGTTCCCAAGTTCTGAGATCCAGTGGGATCCTCTGTGTCCAGAGTGGCTGTGGACCAACCACGTGAGCCACACAGAGAGGGGACTCAAGGGTGGTCTGCTTTCATGGAGGGGGAATTTGTGTGGGGGCAGGGGGCAATGTTTTGAGGCAAAAAGTCCCCGTTAAAGGAGCTGTGCACCTGCATCTGCTATCACTTTAATTTGAAATGTTTTCAAAGATACTTTTCTATTAGAGAGAAATTAGGATGGTCTTTGCTCCTTATCATGGAAATTCACATTTTTGTTCCTCTAGGACCCTCCTGTAAGTTTCAGCAGTCTGGTGTTCCCTCCACGTGGTGGAAGTACACCAGGCTGCTGTGTTAGAAACCTCCCAGGTTGGAACTGATTCTAAGGGTCGCGACAAAAGAAGCTCTCTCTCGCCCTGACTGGCTTGGGCATTGTCCTGCAACTCTTAAGGTCGCTGGTTTGATTTCTGGTCAGGGCACATGCCTGGGTTGTGGGTTTGGTCCCCGGTCGGAGCACAAACAAGAGGCAACTGATCAATATTTCTCTCAAACATCAACATTTCTCTCCTTCTCTCTCTCCCTTGCTTCCCCTCTAAAAATAAGTAAATAAAATCTTAAAAAGAAGGAGCCCTCTCTGTAGTGATGCATGTGCGAATGCAGCCAGAGCCCAAGAGAGAAGGGTTTACAGGCTCCTGGCAACCACAAACGTATCCATCCATGACATCCCTTCCTCCACACACTGGATTTGTCATGTTTAGTCTGGGCGGCGTGAGTCCTCTGAGTGGCAGTAAGAAAGCCATTGAAGCCACATAAACACTTTAATGACTCATGTTTCCCAGCTAAGATCTGTGTCAATCACCCGTGGTCTATGCAGCCAAATGCTTTTGTTGTCCTTTACCTTTACATGATGAAGTTGTTAAAAAAAAGTACACAGGTCAGGAAGGAAAGTCATATGCCTGTGTTCTGTATATTCAGGGCTTTAATTTCCTGGGTGCTAATTTCCAGAGACAGATTTGGATACCAAGAAATATCAAATCTGCTCACATTCATGAAGGTATAATGAATATCAGGAACTACTCATTTGTGTATTTTTTCTTGCAACAATGATTTTATTCTTGCAAATTGTGACCACAAGTCATTTAAAAGATAATTGCGTGGTAGAACTAATAAATGAGTTCAACAAGGTTGCAGGACACTAGATTGATATACAAAGATCAACTGTACTTCTAGACACTAGCAGTGAACAATGTGAAAATGAAATCAAGAAAACAATTTTATCTGCATAAAAATGAAAAATGAAATCTTTAGGAATAAACTTAACAAAAGAATTGCAAAACTTATACTTTGACAACTACAACATGCAAGAAACTAAAGATCATCTGAACAAAGGAAACGACAACCTGGGTCCATGCACCGGAGCCCAGGGCAGAGGGGCACTGAGGCCCAGCTGCAGGGACACGGTGTGCAGCTGAGACCTCATCCTGGCCCACACAGGCAGGAACAGATGGTATTTATTCCCCCAAAATGGACGGAACCGATAGCAAGGAAAAAGTCTGAACAAAAGCTTGATTTTCCAGTTTCTCTGTGCACTTTGTGACTTTCAGCTCTATTTATGGCTATAAAAGTATTAAAATATGGAAATATATTCCTTTTTCATGTTAATAAGACATGGAGTCAGTTTCCAACATTGGAGATATACTTGTATTTTCGCAAATAGAAACTGTTCACTAGTCAGTGAAGCGCTGTGTGGTTGTTGCTCGTTACTTTGTTGTTCACAAGAATGGGAGATGACATCAGCATGTTTGGCCGGCACAGACAAGCCGCTTCTGAGATCGTGTGGAAGGGCAACAAAACTAGAAAAGCAGAAACAATTCTGGAAAGTAGAATGAATCTGGAGGAATCTCACTACGCGATTTTAAGAATTACAATAAAGCTGCAGCAACCAGCACGCAGATTCTGCCGCAGAGGGGCTCAGGAGGAAGAGAAAGATGGGTGGGGCAAGCTCGCCCGCTGTGTCTCCGTTAGACAGCTCAGGGCACCTCCCTCTGAAAACTGAGTGGGGCCCTACAGCCAGCCATCTCAGAGTGAACAAGTGAAAAAGAGGTGACTTCAAAAGAAGCAGGCCACTCTGATAGCGCTTCGATAGACCGTGCTCCCCGCTGCCCCTCCCCCCACAAATAGGACTAACAGGATCTGGGAGCAGGCCTGCTGTGAGGGAGGACACCCCATTTCAGCCTCTGGGGTGCACAGTGAGCACCAAACAAAGGCTAAAGTCCTGGCTTTCCCTCATTTATTTTCTGGGTTGGACTCCGAGGTCGTCCAGGCCTTGTCACGGCTGGGAAGTGCCCAGAGGCCATGCACCTGGTGATGAATTACCTTTGATCCCGCCTCCAGTCGGGAGTAGAGTAAATAGGTATGCAGGTCCCCGTACTTCATAAAGGGTAAAATCACCATGGGCTTTGGGCTGCCTTGAGAGCCCATTTCTATACAAACACCTGAAATTAAGAGCAGAGTTAGTTACAAAGAGCCCTTGTCAGCAGTGGCCAGAAAAAACACGGCAGCAGCTCGGGCCAAATCGAAACCACGTGCTGCTGAGTGAACAGCAAAGAAAACAAACGTGCTCAGACTCACACACCATGTTCCAGAACATGGAACTTGAACTGAGTCCACATCTTGGCGTTTTTTATCTCTCAGATTAGCGCCAATCTCTGCATGAGAGCTCTCAAAGATTAAGGTATAACAAGTTTGGCTGCCTAGAAACCTGGGTTTTCGTTGTGCTGAGTCCAAGTGAGAGGCAGTGACTGCATTAGAATTCAGGAGCAAAGCAGTTCCACGTGTGAGTTAAACACTGGCTCGTGTGAAGATGTGCACTGAAACCAAATGCTTAAAACTCCGAAAGGTATTCTGAGGGCCTTTAGATAAAATCCACCCTCCTGTTGTAACGGTGATACAGAGGGAAATCTGCAACCCCGTTTACCATGGAATTCCAGAACTAGAGCCTGCCTGTCACCTGACACCAAGCTTGAAAAGCCAGTCTGGCACATTTGGGTGCAATTACAAAGCATGATTGTTCTCAGTCTGCTGAAGACAATAGTTGCAAACGAGTAACAGTAGTTTCTTTGACAAAATATTGTATCCAGACATTAGTATTCACATCTCCCTTAAGTGTCAAAGACACTTTGAAAGTTCCCCAAAGAATTCAGTGCTTATTAAATTGCAGGAGAGCAAACATAAGTCGTCAGAATATCCCCTTATTTTTAGGCTGCTCGCCCTCCTGGAATGGTGTGTTGCTTACACAGCAGCCCCTGGAACCTGACCTCCCTTTTGTGCTTTTTAGCTAGTGGTGCTAACAGCCAAATTCTAACATTAAATCCTGTCCCATTTTTACCCATTTTGCCATCAGCCTCCAAAAGTGTGACTGTAAGGAGAAGCCGTTGGGGTGAAAAGCCCCACATTTTGAATCACTTTGGGTTACACCAGGTAGCCCCTGGGCACAGAGTGGATGAGCCAGCCCTGGCCCCAGCCCCGCCTCTCTTGAGGTACCTAGGAGCCGGATGACATTTGGGTGGCTGAAGTCTTTCATGCAGGCGGCCTCGCTGAGGAACTCCTCAATCTCTCGCTGAGAAAAGCTGTCCACTGAAAGGAGAAATGGGAAATCTCAGGCATGAATAATGTGCTCCATGAAGGGAAGGGGCAACAGCAATTTTGTTCTCTAAGAGTAGAATTGGTGAACACATGAGTGCTGGTCAGGGGCTGGGTGTGGGGACACAGGGTGTGAGACGTCTGCAGGACACTGTGACCGTGAGGTTAGGTACTTGTCAAACCCACAGGCTGTACATACAACACATGTGAACTAATGTAGCCCATGGACTTCAGTCACTAGTGTTTGAATGTGGGTCCGTCAACTGTAAAAAACACACCACGCTCGTGCAATGTGTTAACATAGGAGGGCTGTGTATGGGGGGTACACGGGGACTCTGTACTGACTGCCCAGTTGTTCTATAAACCCAACACTGCTCTAAAAATTAAAGTGTATTAGTTTAAAAAAATCTTAAGCAAATCCAATTGATCTGTTGCAATCCGTTTGGCCTTAAAAAAAGAAGGAACATATGCCCTCTCTCTCTGTGCCATGCAAGCCTGCTTGCTCAGTCCTGCGTTGGGAGCTGGATACACTTTCACACTAAGTTTCTGGAATTAATCCAACTTAAGAGGCACATTTAAAAGGCTACACTAAGGGACATAAGTCAGTGACAAGAGGACACACAGTGTGGGGCCCCACTTGTACGAGGCAGGCAGACGAGTCACATTCACAGACAGAAATGGAAGGGGCCGTGCTGGGGGCCGGGGGCTGAGAGTTGTATAAGGAACCAAGTTTCAGTTCTGCAAGATGAAGAGGTTCGGGAGATGATGGTGGTGGTGGTGGTTGCACAACAACAAGAATGCACTTAAAGCCACTGGAGTTAGAAATGTTTAGTTTACCACAATGAAAACTAAACAAAAACACACCTAAAGCCAGGTGTGCCTTAGGGAGTCTGCTTCAACAGGGTACAAGGATTAACTAAAATTACTTGAGAGCATCTAGAAGTGTCAGTACATCCAATGGGTTTACTATATATTACTTTTCCTATAACGTTTAAAAAATATAAAAACTAATTCTATAGACCTGCAAAATGTCTGCCCCTTGGTCCTCACCTTTAGCCTTTGCTGCAAACAATGTGGGCGGAACAAAAAGGGGCAGGGGGTCTGCCTGCAAACCCCTCCCCCAGCGGCCAACAGCCAGGCAAAAGCAGAGAAGCCCACAATTAGAGGCCAGAGACTAGTCTTTTGATCTTTGATAATTAGCATGAATCCAACTTGAATGCAAGTTATTCTAATTAAGTTGAAGAAGAACAGAGCCAAAGCCAGAGACAACAGGTCCCAGGCTCAGCTCCTCTGACTGGGTCCCCTCAGTAAGTGGGGACGATGGGGGGGGCCTCCCCTCGGACACACTGGGAGGTCCCAGGGCAATAATGCGAGGCAGCACCAGTGCTGAGTGTGGCTCCATGCAGGATTCAGGGGACATGCCACACAATCGAGGTGCACATTACGGGTGCCCAGCTGAACAGCCAATGAATTGAACTGAGACAATCATGGGGCCACCTGCTGCCACCACATCAGCCCTACCCAGAGATTCATGCCTTACCTGGAGTCATTAATGAAAGAAAATGAATGACATGTCATTGCCTTGAGGGTGACGACTATGCAGTGCAGGTATGAAGAGCTCATTAGAGTAACTGTAACGAGGCAGCACCCTGGGTGGCCCTCTGACCCATTGGCGACCATGATTGCGACCCTCGAACTGCAGCCTGGTTTCACGGAGCCCCAGACTGTGGAGTGGCTGTCCACACCCAGAAGGATGGTCTGATGGGTGATAACTCACACTTCATGGTCTTCACGGCCACTTTCTGGGAGGTTCCGTCTTGCTGAGTAAGACTTCCTTCCATCACAGACCCAAACTCTCCTGTAAAACCAAATGACACCTGTGTGGGCCTTGTGCAAAATCTCCCCTGACCACAGAAACACCACGGCACCAGGGCCTGTTTTCCCTCGGCCTAAGTGCCCCCCACACGGCGGCTGGGAAGAGCGGCCAGGCCACCCACACGTGCAAACCAGGGCACAGCCCAGGCAGTGACGTCCTGCTTGTCACCACCATGGTTGGCGTGGACTTAGCTTGGTTCACTTTACTACAGGACAACACAGAAAATGTTTTCAAAATTCATAAAGTAGAAACTCTGAACACTGTCACCACTCATCCTAGTATGAGGTTGACAAATTAAATGTGTTTTCATACTGAACTAGGAAGGTGCTAGCAATGACAAGCTTGACAATGAGAGGAATAAATGCACGTGAGAGAGCAACCCCCAGTGAATTAATTACGTGCCTTCCAGGGGAGGCAGGGCATTCACATTCTCAGGGCCTGCTCTGCACCAGGCAATGCAGAGCCTCACCCGTGTGCCAAATCTTCGTTTCAAAAGCACTATTTTTTCATTTTAGGTGATAAAACAGACTACTCGTATTATCAAAGTCACAAAATAGTATTTATCTAATAATATGCACAGGGTCTGGCAGAAGTGACACCATGGAGCGTGGCTGGTAGGCTCGTGTCCGTGTCTGGCGCGAGAAGGAGAGCAGTTTGAACCTCTCACCTAACATGTCCCCGGGTGTGCTTGAGTGTGATGCTGTCATGTTACAGAATTCCAAGTCAGTGATTTTGTAATAAAAGATTTGGTATAGATTACCAGCTCGTAAAGAAGGGGTGTTATTTGTGCTGGACCCTGAGTTTTAAAAAATTACTGTGAACTGCTTTCTTACCCCATCTGTTAAAAGAATTAAACTGCTTTACCTTCACCCAGAATTTTCCCAAGAATTAGAAGGTTCCTGTCAATCACAACATCTTCCAGCTTATTCTGCAGCTCCTCGCTGACTCCCAAGCTGCGTACTATAAAAGAAGTGACAGGGGACATGTGAGTTGTCACAGTGTTTCCTTTCATTTGAACATAATTCAAATTATTTAAAAAGTCCATAAAATAGCTAAACACTTTTCCCATTTTATACCCCATAAATCTCACCACTGCCCCACAAATTGCCAGTAATAAAATACCACACTTAATTCTGCTATGATTAAAGTGAGTAAAATGAATCCTTTGGAACAAGATTAATTCTGAGCGTCTACAAAAATCTGAACCATATTTCTCCTTCTGGTGTGTGCTATCAGCAGCTGGAAACCCCATTCCTGTTGGGTAGGTTCTCCCCTGACCAGGAGGGCAACAGAGAAGTCAACAGATTTTTTCCAGTGCAGTGTTTACTGTTATATCCCAAGGACGGGGTACAAAGGAGCCCCCGGGCAGCTCCCATCCTGCCTGCCAGGGCAGGAGGCGCAGAAGCCACAGGAAACACAGAGCAGGAGCGCCTGCTCATGCTTGGGCTCGGCGCGTGGAGCCCCTTGTGCCCACACGGACAGTGCTACACTGAGCACTGGGGGAGGATTGGAGAACCAGACCTGGTGCCACGAGGCGCAGATATGCAGCACTGGCAGGAAGGGTCATCAGTGAGCGCAGTTGCCCAGGGGAGGGAGACCCATTCAACGGCTACCTGGCAAAGAACTCAGTTTGTGCACCAGCAGGCAATGCGCACGGCTTTGAGAGAAGAATAAAACTCAGATAATCTGGACACTTTAGCTATCAGTGAAAACACTACCCAAATGGTCCTCCAATTAAGGAAACAAATTGGTCTAAATTAAGAATTTTTTAAAATATAAGAACATCTAAAAGCCAAAACTTCTAGATTAGAAAAGTAAGGAAATTATAACATTCTATATCACATGAGTGTTTATTTCATAGCAACCTGTATTTCATCATTCTTGTATCTGGCTGGTTGTTGTGGCTGTTCTGCCAAACACACAGTTTAAACTTGGAAGTCATACTTTCTACACAGCCTCGGAAATTACCCGAGAACATACAATGATCTGTTTATTCCCCCTTCAACTAGGAGAGTGCCCACTCTGATGCAGCAGAGCCCAAACCACTATTGGTACAAAGTGTCTTAGCAAATCGTTCTCTGACTTGAGTGCCAGCAAAAACAAAAAATAACAAGCTCTGAAACTGTGACATGTTTTGTTGTTTTCTTTAAATCCCTGACTCCTGCACACATCTCCCGTCACCCAGGAGTTCCTTTGCCCTCCATGTTTCACGCATTTGGAGGCCCTCACCCGGCCACTTTGCCCCACATTTCCCGTAAACGGGCCGGCAGTGAAGCACAGGACCAGGTCCGACCACATCCTTGCTGCTTGCTGAGGGCATGTTGCCCATTAAAAATATCCATTCTTTGACTTCCGTGGCTTTTGTGAGATATCTGTCACCGAACTTGTGTTTCTCTCTTCACTCTCAACTATTTTAACTTTTACCCAAAAAAGGGAAATGGAAGAAAGCTTACAGGTGAGTTGGATGGCTCGCCGACAGAAGGACTTCTTTGCTGTGTAATTGACGACCAGTTCCAAATCCTCCCCCGTGAAGGCGGTCCTGGGTGACAGAACATGGACATCTCGAGTTCTCCAACGGCAGGTGCTGGCCCCCTGCCTTGGCTCTCCCAGCTCATTTGCTCTTTGACCTACATTTTTAAATCAGCTTGCCAAGCGATCAACAACCCTGCAGCCGATTAGATTGTGATTATACCGAATTTATGGCTAACTCAGGGGAAAAAACCCACTCTCAGACAAAACTGAGCCTTCTCATCCATAGGCATGCTACACATTTCCCATTTACTCAAGTCATCTTCTGCATTTTTGGTAAAGGTTGCTAATTTTTCCCCACAAAGTTCTTGAACATCTATTGAGTTTATTCCTATGAACATGATAGTTTTCATTGTGTTGTGGGTGAAATCTCATTCTAGCACTTTGTCTTCCATGTATTTTCAAACCAGAATCAAAATATTTTTATAACATGTGCCCGGCTGGTGTGGCTCAGTGGATTGAGCACCGGCCTGCGAGCCAAAGGGTCACTGGTCTGATTCCCAGTCAGGACACATGCCTGGGTTGCAGGCCAGGTCCTCAGTGGGGGGTGTGTGAGAGGCAACCATACATTGATTTTCCTCTCCCACTTTCTCCCTCCCTTCCCCTCTCTTTAAAAATAAATAAAATTAAAGAATATATTTTTACAACATGTAATGGCCTAAAAGCATTTCCTCCTAAAGGAAAGCAGGAAAAGAGGGTGCCTAGGGAAGACTTCAGAGGAAGTGAAACGGTGCTGAGTTTCCACAGACTGGGGAGGGCAGCACAACTACACGCAGTTCTAGGTGCTTGGCTAAGCCTCCAAAGGCAAAGCAGCACCCTCTGCTTCTGTGCCTGCCGCTCCCGATTCCTCAGCTGCTTGTCCAGGGGCCCCCAGCTGGCCCCTGGGGCTCAGGCCCACCACGGCAGCTTTGACCAACATCCCGAAGGCTCTGTCTTTACCGAGCCTACCTTTGAGGGGCCTGAGCAATGTGTCCATGCATTATTCTCTTTAAGTCATTGTTTCCTCAGCAATAATGATGTATGCCTCCTTGATGACACAAACTGCATGTGGCCACTACTTTTGAGGACACCAACCTCTTCGACTCGGCACCTCTCCATTAATGACGGTGTCTGAATGTCTCACAGTGAGAAAACTGATAATAACCTTGGAGAGCACTTAGAGCGAGGTAACACAACGGAAACCTGGATACATTAGAAGACTCATCTAAGGGACAGAATGAATGCCAGACCCCAGGCATCACATTCTGCAGCCTGGTGCTGTCCCTTTGTGGGCCAGACTCCCAGCACCACGGGGCCTTTACATGTGTTGTCCTTTTTGGCTGAAATGCTCTTCCCTCCCTCTCACCTAATCAACACTTGTGCTTTCTCCAGCTTTTACCTCAGGTGTCAGCTCTGCAGGGAGGCCCTTCCTTCCTTCCTTCCTCTTTTAAAAAAGATTTTACTTATTTATTTTTACAGAGAGGGGAAGGGAAGGAGAAAGAGAAGGAGAGAAACATCAATGTGTGGTTGCTCCCATGCACCCCCTACTGGGGACCACAACTCAGTCATGTGCCCTGACTGGGAATTGAACCTTTGACCCTTTGGTTCACAGGCCAGCACTTAATCCACTGAGCCACACCAGCCAGGGCCTTTCCTGCCTTTCTTAATGCAATCAATCTGCTGCTGTATACTCATAAAGTTCCTTTTATATAGAATTTTTCACAGCTGCCATTTGATATTAAGTTTTGTGATGACTGCCTGATTCCCTGCTAATGGGAGTCCCACAAAGGCAGGAGCAGTGCCTGCTTTGTCCCATCGTGCCCCAGGCATTCCCAGTCCCCAGCACCTGGCAGGCCTTCAGCGAGCCACTCCTGCACCTCTGCAGAGGGTCTCTGCAATAAGCCCGAACTACAGACTCTGGGGTGTACTTCAGTCAACCCAGGATGTAGGTGAGATTTTGTCCATGCCTTTAAAATTGTCACTTTTAGAATTTACATACTAAGATATACTCATTACAAGGATAGAGTTGTTAAGCACAGTGAGTACCTGACTACAAGACTGAGGTGGACACACGTAAACGACAGCCCGGCCTCCATGTCCCCGGGAGTTTCTGAAGGAACGCCCCATGCTAAGGCTGTGGAGCCAGGAGAGGGGCCGCATAGCTCCCTCCCTCCTTTATCCAGTCCCACTCCGAGCTGTCAACAACCTGCCTCTTTTATAAAACACCTCCTCCACCCTGAGAGGGACAAACTGGATCTCACGGAAACCCACACTCTCTGCACAGGCTGGAGTGGAGCGCTGAGTTCCGGAAACAACACTGACACGTGCAGCCTGTGTGCCCAGGCTTCTCTGCTGGGGCTTCTCGTTTCCCTGACTCCACTGCTGTTTGGCTGTAAAAGCCATATGCACAGAAAATAAGAAAAGAGCTTATAAATTTGACTGTGAAAATATACAGTTTTTCTCTATTGGAAAAATAACTGATCATTACAGAAAATGTGTAAAATACAGGAGAAAAACAGAAAACAGAATTGCTAATGCTTTGGTGAATTTTCTTCTAGTATTTCATTTGCACATGCATCTGTTTGATTTTTGTTAGTGATTCAGATCATTTAAAGACTTCTAAAAAAGTCCTCATTTACAGCAACCGAGTTTGGTTACCGAAGGCCCGCTGATGGCCTTCTCTGCCAGTGAGCCCTCCAGGCCGGCTCTCCCTGCCGGCTGCCGCTGCAGCACTGGCCTCGTGAGGACACTGTCTGCCCAGGGGGAGTGCAGGACAGGGCACCCAGCTGGAACCCTGAGCAGCTGGTCCAGCAGGACAGGCATTGTCACTTGGCATAACCACCTCATCAATACCACTGAAGAGAACATTTTTACCTGGGACACTTACCCGAACCGTGTCTCTTGGACTCTTTTTCTGATGGCCAGAGAAACATACAAAAGCAGCCCAATCAGAACAAGTCCGCAGAAGCAGCCAAGGATGATGAGCACGGGGTCTGTGTTGCCAGGTGCTGGAGTTGACGAGGGGGCAACGTCTACCCAACCTGGTAAAAGATCAATGAAAGTGACTCAGAACATCTCTTCGGGATCTGCAACACACACAAAACACTGGCTTGTAACAGGGAAGGGCAGAGAATCATGAGCTTTATTTGGAACTAGTCCTTCTAGATTCCGTGATCCACAAACACAGGCGGTCCCGCTGTGACAGTGCAAGCTGAGACTATGCAGGGTGCTCTCAGGGACCAGTGGGTGACTGTCAGCCACAAAGATACAAGGAAGTGAAAAAACGATCAAATTAATACGACTGGCACACTGTAATTAAAATACTAGAACACTGAGAATTAGAATGCTTATTTCTTTGTAAACACTTATCAAGAGTAGTGTGAACATGGCTGCCTCCTTCCAGTCGTATAACTTATGCTGTGGACAGAATCTACTTTCTGTGCCTGCGAATCGTCACGCTCCATTCTCAGTGTGGATCCACTTCCAACATCTTATCCTTTGTGCCTCCAGTGCTGTGCAGTGTCTCTCAGAGTTCCTTCATGGGAAGGTCTCTGCTGGCATGCCTTCCTCTGGAACATCTCCATCCTTTGGGGCACGATCACTTCATTCATGTGGGTAAGCTCACCTTCTCTGAGTCCCTGGTTACGTATCTAGAGTCTGTGAGCTATTTCTCCCATAATTCCACACATATTCAACCCAAATTTTACTGTGACACTCCTCCTTTCTTCACTACACTTTCATCTCTGTTGGCCAACTCCCTCTTTCAGTTACCCATTTTTGCAAGATGTCACATGGGTCTGTCACTTGTAGACAAGACAGCAGCACAGTGACATGCCTTAGATGTGAGTGAACTGAATAACAGAAGTGCAGTGACCAACCACCACCAGACTTTGAGATGCAGTGCACTGGGCATGGTCGCAATGAGCCTGTTATTTACGTGGATTTGTGGACCGAAGAGCTGGTGGTGCAGTGTATATGCTCCGCAGTTCTCACAGTTAATACACCATAGCTCACATTTGAACCATACTGTTAAGGAATGGGTTTAACTCAAAGGGGTAACAGAAATGTATGCATACTGGAATCATGCAAAGCGCTGACTGCAATTATGGCAAAGCTCTTTAATAATTCTGGACAGTTTATTATGTATCAAGGTAAAAGCCCTACCATCCTTTAAAAATTTTTTTGTTTTAATCCTCATCCAAGGACATGTTTCATTGCTTTTAGATACAGGAAGTGGGGTAGGGGAGAGAGAGAGAGAGAGAAAAACACCGATGTAACAGGGAGACAAAGACTGGAAGGCACCAATCTTTTTGTAGGCTCCCCGAGTGGGGACCAAACCTGCAACCTAAGCATGTGTCCTGACCAGGAATCAAACCCATAACCTTGCAGTGTACAGGATGACACTCCAACCAACTGAGCCATCCAGCCAGGGCCAAAGCTCTGTCATCTTAAAGTCTGATTTTAAAAACTGTGCCTTTAGAATCAGAATGTCATTGTCTTTGAATTTCTACCAGGCAGACAAGCCTGTGCCCCCATCGCCAGTTACTAATGGTTCCAGGTACACAGCCTATGGGCTGCAGGACCTGTAAAATGGCTCCACTTGTTCACTAAAGAGACAGTTTGTGAGGGTCGTTGACAGAGACCGCCTGGAACCCACTGGTCTACTCACAAGTCCTGTCTGCTGTGAGTACAAAGGCCGTGTCTGCAAGGACTTGTGAAAGCCCAGGGTGCACTGATACAGATGTCTGTGCATGGAGCTGATCACAGCAGTTTAGCATCGAAGAACCAAACCCAGAGCACCATCAGAACAGAACTGCCTCCCCTTGTCTATGAGGTGAGCACAGCGTTGGGGCCACTTGGGGCACCACGGTGGCACCTTGCCGAAGGATACTCCAACAACATGGAAAAGCCAGCACGCAGCCTGGGCACTTAGCTCAGGGAGCCTAGGGCCGTCTGAGGGAGGTATCTGCAGGAGATACTGTGTGTTCTGGATTGGTCAATCATGGAGCATGCTGGCCAAGGCCTGAATGGGCAGTAACTTGGCAAGCGGCACCGATTAAAGCAGTAAAACAAGCACTAGCTTAACAGTACCAATTCTAGAGAGTGAAGTATCTGCCTTTCCAACATTCAGTCAGTATACATCATTTAACTGTACTTGGTAATCCAAGTCAAACAAGGCACCGTGAGTGGACCAATCCTAGTAAGTTAGAGCCATTCACAGTCATGCTACTGGGAAGACTCACATGTTGGTGAGGGATGTTACCCTATCAACTCTCTTTACCATGGCAAAAATTCCCTTTGGCCCCTAAGTTTCAATCTTAACCCAGCCATCCACTCTCTGGCAACCTGTGCACGACCTGGGCAGACCTGCTCCAGCAGCCCACAGGGAGCCCGGCTCTCACCGTGTACAGGGACGAATGTTTTCACTGGGGCACTGAAAGGTCCGACCCCTCCTGTGGTGACAGCGGCGACCCTCACTGTGCATGTGGCATTGTGGACTTGAACAGGAATCTGCGCATGGCTGCCATTTTGACCGACTTCTTCAAACAGCTCTTTCTGGGAATGAACAAGAAGGAAAGGAAATGAAACATGGCACTGCCTGGGGAGTGTCACCTGCTCCACCACAGTCCCTCCTGAGGGAAGTCACCACCCCCCCCCCCCACACCCTAGGGCCGTGGCCATGCCTGCACACTGTCCCTTCCCTCACTCAGGCCACAGCCTGAGAACAAAAGCGCAGGGACGCAGGATGGGCTGGCAGCACCAGGGCTGTGAGGGCACAACCCTGAGTTGTGAGTGGCAGTGAAGGCGCCTCTGCAAGAGGGGGGCACAGAGCCCAGCAGCCAGATGACGCGAGCGAGGTAACTCCAGACTCCCCGGGACTCCCACAGGGCACTGCCCAGGAGCCTTGCTGCACCTGACACTGGTCGCCTGCCAGCCTCCCTCAGACCAGTGCAAGTGGGCTTGTTCCTATAAGAATTCTGACTAAAATCTCCATTAAGGAAGTTACTGACAATATTTTTTTGCTACCAGTGTTATAAATGCACAATTTGCCCAATTTAAAAAAATCTGGTTTTATTATTAGTTGTGTTTGAAAGCCACTGCCAAGTAACATGTGCCATTATGACACAGAAGAAAATGACTTTTGAAAAAATAACCAAGACCTGCACCACCAGGGGGCTCAATTGGTTGGGTGTCATTGTGCAAACCAAAAGGTCACAGGTTCGATTCCCGGTCAGGGCACATGCCTGGGTTTTAGGTTCGGTCCCCAGTTGGGTATTTACAGAAGGCAGCCATTCGATGTTTCTCACTCATATCAATGTTTCTCTCCCTTCCTACTTCTCCCTCTAAAAAAAACGAAACAAAGAAAAAGTAACCAGGACTAAGTGTTTATACAGCTCTCTACCCTTTGTTTCCAAACCTCAGATGTAACGCTGGTCTCTGCGGTAGGAAACTAATTGTGTGTCTGGGGCTGGCTTTTCAGATGGAAACTGGATGGATTCTGGAAATCTGATTTCACAGAGAGAAAGGAGGCTGTCATATCATATGGGGCACAGATGTCACGGGTCCCCTGTGAACAGAGGGGCCTGGTTTGGGGGCAACATCATCCCCTGGTCACTCAGTCACATGCAGTCTCTTCTAACCATCACCGAGGGGGCAGCCAGGGAGAGGGCCATCCCACCCTTGTGGCCAGAGGTGGGGGGAACCTGGGTCAGCCCCCAGAGGCTGTCTCTAAATCTGACAGGCAGTGGCCATCAGGTCCCAGAAACGCCTCAGATAGTGATGATAAGGGAAAACACGGACTGAAAAGTTATGGGTTTTTCTATCCCATTGGACTCTGTTGTTGCAGAAAGACTTGTCACAGGTTTTTTTTTGTTTGTTAATTAAGTGAACAAATTAATAATTACAATTTTGGGGAATATTCAGGCAATTATCTTTTTAGAAACAGCATGTATTTATGGCAAACACAGTTTTTGTCTAAAATTGAAATATATTTGACATGTAAATTGGGTGAATTTAAGATGTATAACATGTTGATTTGAAACATTCATATATTACATAATTGCTATTGCAGCCATAGTTAACACTTCTATTACATCTTGTAATTACCATTTCCTTTTAGTGGGTGTGGTAATGAAGACCAGGTCTCTTGGCAAGTTGATGATCACACTATAACACTGTTGTCTGTATTCGCTGTACTGTGCATTAAATCTGCAGGACTTATATGCTGACGTGCGGCATGTTTGTCCCAAACCCAGTTCTGCTTCTGGGTCACCTGGTCATTCTCTAATTTGTGGGGGACAGGAAATCCCCAGGCAGCGTAACTCCCTGGCCCCGCCACCCTGCGGCGAGTGAGGCGGGCGGCCGAGGACACCACGCCGGTCTCAGCGCTGGCCACCTGGCAGCTCCTCAGGCGCACAGCTCCGGGCCTTACCAGGGCACAGGTCTGTTTCCAGTTCCACATTTCCGCCTGCACTCAAATATGAGACCTCACTTATGAGAGAAATTACCTCAAAATAGAGAAAAATGGATAACTGTGAAAGAATTAAATCTCTAGAAGGAGAGAAATCCTAACAAAAACAGAATTACCCTTTTGGAAATAAATGTAAAAGCCCTTTATGATACCGGTTGGCTTAGGGCCTACACCTGACTATGAAAACCTAGAGAAGTGACTTTTTAATTTCCCCGTCCTACCCTTAAACGACTAAAGAGCTAATCCGTGTGCAGTGCTTGGCAGGGCGCCTGGCCTGCAGCGAGCGTCGGCCAAGTGCAGCGATGGCACCCTTCACAGCCGCGGCCCTCGGGCTGGACCGAAGTGCCGCTGTGACTGGTGCGGGGCACCGCTTCCTGGACACACGTGTTGAAAAGACATAAAAACTATTCACTCTAGGAGTGCAATTATAATACATTTTGAAGTAGTGATTAGAAAGATGCATGATAAACATTTTAGTGGAGATTTAACAATTTTTTTCTAAAAATAGCCTTAAATGGTAACCTCTAATATTGTCTTAAAATGATCAGTGTTTTAAAAAAGTAATGTCCTCAATCCTTTCTGTTTTGATGCCAAATGTGTAAAGAGAGGTGTGACCATATCCACATCCTCAAATATTATTTTAATTTTGATTCTGACAGCTGACAGAGAAACTCATTTAATAATCACATACACGGTCCCGACCAGGTAGCTCAGTTGGTTAGAGCATCGTCCTGATATGCCCAGGTTGTGGGTTTGATCCCTGGTCCCCAGTCAGGGCACATACAAGAATCAACCAATGAATGCGTAAATAATAAGTGGAATGACAAATTAATGTTTTTCTCTCTCCCTCTCTCTTTCTCTGTCAAAGGCAATAAAAAAATTACACACATGTGGGAGCTGACCTGTGTGCATACCCCCCGTCGTGTCAGGTGCCAAGTGCAGAAGGTGGGGCTGCGTTGCTGGCACGACACGGTCTGGCCGTGGGCTCACGGTGTGGGCCGACTGCACATGTCTCGTTTACGGCTTTCATGTTCTCCAACACAGGCCGATCTCCTCAAAGACTTAAAATACAAGAGCGATTTCAGGAAATGGAATTGGAAATACAGTATGACATTGATTACAACTTGACTCATGGATAAAACAGGTAGACCTTGCCTAGTGGGGAATGTAAAAGCACATCTTCTGAAACAGTATGACTTGTTTCTCATGTGGGCATTAGTTCATTAGGGTGATCTCAGTGGTGTTTGTGTTATCAAAAGGCTTTAATATCTTCACCTCGGTGAGAAGGTACAACCCTATCTTTTTAACTGTATTTAAGAATATGACCCTTTTTATTGCCTCAGAGAACAGCAACATTCAGTTGGGAAGGACTAGCAGATAAAAGTTTCTGTAATGTTAGCTGATACATAGAAACAAACACAGGAAGGCTGCCAAAACGAGAAGACAAAGAAACATGGCCCAGATGAAAGAACAGATCAAAACTCCACAAAAAGAACTATACAAAATGGAGACAAGCAATCTACTAGATGCAAAGTTCAAAATACTGGTTCTAAGGATGCTCAAGGAACTTAGGGAAAGAATAGGTGAACTGAGTGAGAACTTCAGCAAAGAGAGAGGAAACAAAAACAGAACTAGAAGACATAAAAGAAAACCAGTCAGAAATGAAGAATACACTAACTGAAATGAAGAATATATTATGTCCTGGTTGATGTGGCTCAGTGGATTGAGTGCCAGGCTGCACTGCGAACTAAAATGTCACTGGTTTGATTCCCAGTCAGGGCACGTGCCTGGGTTGTGGGCCAGGTCCCTGGTTGGGGGTGTGCAAGAGGCAACCAATTGATGTTTCTCTTCCACATTGATGTTTCTTGCCCTTTCTCCCTCCCTCTCTCTGAAAATAAATAAATAACATCTTAAAAAAAGAGAATATATTACTACAAAAAATCAGCAGAGGAATAAATGAAGCAGAGGATCAGAGATTTGGAAGATAACAAGGGAGAAAATACCCAATCAGAATAGCAAGAACAAAAAAGAGTCCAAAAATGTAAGGATGGTATAAAAAGTCTCTGGGACAACTTCAACTCTGTCTCTGTACCAACATTCACATCATGGGGGTGCTGGAAGAAGAAAAGAGAGAGCAAAAAGGTGAAAACTTATTTGAAAAAATAATGATGGAAAACAGGGGCCTTGCAAAGGAAATAAACATACAAGTCTAGAAAGTACAGAGAGTCCCAAACAAGATGAACTCAAATAAGCTTATACCAAGACATATCATAATTAAAATGCAAAAGTTTAAAGACAAAGAGAGAATCTTAAAAGCAACAAGACAGAAGCAGTTACTTACATTCAAGAGAGCTCCCAAAAGACTGTTACCTGAGTTCTCAAAAGAACCTTTGCAGGACAGAAGGGAGTGGCACAAAATATTCAAAGTGATAAAAAGCAAGAACCTGCAACCAAGATTACTAACCTAGCAAAGCTATCATTTAGCATTGAAAGATAAAGAGCTTCTCAGACAAGAAAAAGCTAAAGTAGTTCATCACCACCAAACCAGTATCACATAAATGTTAAAGGGACTTCTTTAAGAAGAAGAAGAAGAAACTGATAAAAAATATGAATAAAATGGCAATAAAAACATATCTATCAACAATTACTTTAAATGAAAATGGACAAAATGCTCCAATCAAAAAACATATGGAAGCTGAATGGATAACAAAACAAGACCCTTACATATGCTGCTACAAGAGACATACTTTAGATTGAAAGACACACAAAGACTGAAAGTAAAGAGATGGAATCAGATACTTCATGAAGTGGAAACAAACAAAAAAGAGCTTTGGTAGCAATACTTACACCAGACAAAATAGATTTTAAAACAGAGGCTATATAAGAGAGACAAAGGAGGCCTCAGCAATTCCACTTCTGTGATGCAGACACTGGCCCGCAGTATCCGAGTCATTATGGATGAAATGAGACATTCACATGGGCTACCGAGTCCGGTGGCGGAAAAGGGACAGCATGCCTTTTCTCTCAAGGGGAGCAAAAGCTCTTGCTGTGACCTGCCTTTATTGGGTTTCTCAGCACATTACATGATGGTCCTCATTTACTGTGCACAGGTTCGCTTTAGGTGGTTGCCTTTTACAGGAGACAAAGGAGAGAGTGCCGCTAATCACATCACAGAAGAGGAATATTTGGAAATGAAAAGGCAAAAGTGGTTAAACTGGTTAAACTCATCCTTGGAAGGTTTAGCATGGATTTTAGGAAGTTACTTTGCAGTAAATGTCCTCAATTCAGGGTGAGGGAGTTTTTTTAGCAAGAGCAAGACTCAAAGTGGCCTAGGCACATTTCAGGCCTGATTCCCCACAGGAGAACCTATCCGTGGGCATGGGTCCTGTGCATCTCAGAGTAGGAGCTGGGCCTACACCATGCAGAATGGTCTCCTACACTTCTGGTTACCAGTATTTTGCTGTGTATAATGTTAACTTTTTTGCCCAAATTTTTGAGGGAAAAATAAGGATGCACATAACATATTAGTATAATAACTACATATCATGGGTATAATAATGTATATACTAATCATGTATAATGCAAACAGAAACATGAGTGCTCATTGCACCCAGCAAAATGGGGTACTTACCTGAAAAAAACCCAGAACACTAATTAAAAAAAGGCATATACATCCATATGTTTGTTGCAGCATTATGTACAATAGTCAAGATATGGAAGCAACCTAAGTCTCTATCAATAGATGAGTGGGTAAAGAAGAAATGGAGCATGTACACATTAGAGTATGGCTCAGCCATGAAAAAGAATGAAATCTTGTCATCTGCAACAATGTGGATGGACTTAGACGCAATTGTGCTAAGTGAAGTAAGTCAGACAGAAGAAGATAAATGTCATATTTCACTTACATGTGAAATCTAAAAACCAAACAACTGAACAAGCAAAACAGAAACATATTCATAGATACAGGGATATTCTGATGGTTGCCAGGTGGAAGGGGAACTGGTGATGGGTGAAAAAGGTGAAGGGATTAAGAAGTATAAATTGGTAGTTACAGAATAGTCACGGTTGTAAACTACAGCACAGAGAACACAGTCAACAATATTGTAATAACCAAGTATGGTATCAGAGAGTCTAGATTTATCAGAGTGATTATTAAGTTATATAAATGTCTAATCACTGGCTTGTACACATGAAACTAATATAATACTCTTTGTTAACTGTAATTAAAAAATTAAAAATTACTTAAAATAAAAAACAAAGCAAAAGAATTGTCCCATTCAGAGAAAAATTCTCCCGGTGGTTGAAAGGTCTGCCAGGTCCATGTGTGGAGTCCACAGTGCCGTAAACACCTACAGAGAAAGTCCAAGGTCCTGCATTCAGACAGTGCAAAGGTAGGCAAGACATGCTCCAGTGTCAAGGAGAAGGGACCACGCTTGCTCCTGACTTTGGACTTTTATTGAAAAAGCAAAGGGCATAAGAAAAATAGAACAAAAAGAAAAGAATAAATGATGTCTGCATGGTAAATACCAGAAGTTTCTTAGTCTGGAAGTGACACAATAGTTGTGATAACAAAGGTATAAACTTTGAAAGCCAGGTTTTCAGCATAACTGCAATAATTCACCCAAAGGCCATTCCAACAGAGTCCCAAAAGTGCATACAAAAACTACTCTTATTAGAGCCATGACTGGGAATCTCTTTGAAAAATATCCAGTTCTGTTGCCTTCATAAAGATGATAGATGTGGATTTAGTAACAGTTCTCTTAAAATGGAAATGAAAGGACAACTTTGAGAGATGAAGTTGTGCCCAACTCTTGCTCCTTGGAAATGAAGGGCATCTGAGAAATAGATGTGAAGGGCAGAGGGCGTTTCAACTTCACTTCAGGTTTCAGGCTCCTCCCAGGGTTGGCTGTTCGTGTGTTTGTATTTGCCTCCCGTTGCAGCTCATGAGCAGGAAGCTCAGCGGCATCAGAGGATTTGTCCAAAGTAAAGTGAGGCCACTAACTCTTCTGTTGTCATAAACCATCACAATGCACAAAGTATAGCATGATTTCAGGGCAAGTGACCTTCTCATTGGGATGACCCAGCATCTCCGAGGAGGCAATGACTGGAAAGGTCACAGCCCTAACTGTAGCAGCACTGTTCTTGCTGCATCATCTCTCCTGCCCTTCAGCTTGTCTCCCTTTAAAGAAGGAGCTGCCACCCATGCCAGAGGAGGAGTACAAAGGACCTTAACTGTCTACCAGTAATCACTGCCCTCTGCCAACCAGAGGGGAAAAAAAATTCCCACTGAATTGAAACAGAATGATTGTCCTTCCTATACTATCGTAAGGATTTAGCATTATGAAAAGGAGCCGTCCTCTAAGATTTGATTCTCCCGACCCAGCCACAGTGCAAACGCCGCTAATCCACAGGCACCCGCACAAAGCCCTTGGACAGGAGTCTGGGGAGGTGAGGCTCCTTCTGTCACAGCTGCAACTCTCTCACTCAGGGTTTGACTGGTGCCAAAAGCAGCCTGTAATGCTTTACTATGAGACACGAGAAATCATGGACTTCTAAGCCCTCTTCTGTCCCCTCTATTTTCATCAGCTGCTTCCTGGTAGGTAAACTGAGGCAACAAAAGGAAAAGAATGACTTTCAACTGTCCTATTGGAAAATAGCAGTTTTGGTAAAAGTTGAATGACGGGAGCTTGAAAATGACTCTAACAAGCTTGGATGTCCTCGTGCTTTCTCCTGCCAAGAAGCTGTGCTACTTCCATCTACCCCATCGCAGAGAAGCCAGCATCTCCTCAACCCTCCTCCTCTCCCAGGTGAGAAGGGGGCCTGTCTGGGGCCTGCCCGGCCTCTCCACCCAGGCCTCATTGCTCAGCCGCGTCCCCCACTTCTGTCCTCGACCAAGTGCTCCCCCCATAGCCGTGACTGGTACACCTCACAGCAATCAAGTCAGGGTGTCTGTCTGGCTTGACTCTGTCTGGCTTGACTGGAGTCTGCCCTAAAAATGTCGCTCCACTGGAAGGGCACTGGCTGGTACTTAGGGGGGCAGTCACAATTTCACACGTAGACCTTTCTGCTTTTTGTTTGCTACTGTGCAAAGAAGCTAGCATTTACACCAGACAGTCCTTACTGTACTACAGAGGATGTGCCATCTCTGTTGATAAAATGGGGGGCACCTGACATTCTGACACATTGATGTACCCCCAGTTCCAGCACAGATTGCTATTCAGTCAACACTCACTGACTATGTCCATCGTTAATTTTATGTAGCAATGGCACTCAAACATGTGGTCAAACACTCACCTGGATGTTGCTGTGAAAGGTATTTTTTAGATGAGATTAATATTTATATCTTGAGCTTAAGAGGAGAAATCAGGGTTGCCTTCAGGGATGAGGATGCCCTCAGGACCCCTGCCCTCTTCTCCCAGCTAGTGTGCCCCTCCCCTAGTCACACTGCAGGGGTCGGGGACAGGGTCATCCTTACATTCTCAGTGAGCAGCAGGAGTGAGCTTCTGAGTGACCTGCCAGTGGGCAGTATGCTCTGGTGGAAAGAAGGCAGATTGAAGGCTGCTTTAAACAAACTCAACTTTCTCATTTGTGGAAGGGTAATAGTCATATTAGCCACCTCAGTAATATACATCTCTCCAACTGGACTCCTAAATTCCAGGTGCCCATTGGCTCCCTTGCCATCTACCAAACTCTGTCTGATGCCTTGACCAGCTCTCAGGGCCCTGCAGACATGGCCGTGACTCTCCGGTCCAGCTCCCCCTCACACCTCGCCCCTAGACACCCCTACAAGCATTCATGTTCCAGGGCCTTGAGTGAGTCACGATCCCTGAAAGCTGTCACATTGTGCCTCGTCTCTTGTTATCTTTCTCCCTCTGGAACTCCTCCATCATCTGGGATTACTACAAACCCAGATTAAGTACCACCTTTACCGGAGAGGCATGCGCACGGGCCGAGCGTCCTTGCACATCCTTGCTGAGCAGGCAAACTGCAAGGCCTAACCAACCCTGACCCTGAGCCATACTGGGCCTGGTCACAGAGGCAGTGAAGTCAGTCATGGTGGCAGCGGTGAGACCACTGCCAACTGTACAGCGCATGGGCTGTTTGTTCTCGCCGCACAGGGTGCCGAGCTGCCGGCCTGAGAACCCTCAGTAAATGGGCCCATCGCACAGCTCCAAGGAGCTTGGGGCCAGGGAACCCACACACCAGGCTGCCGCTGCTGCTGTCTGCTGTGCTGTGGGTGACAAACACTTTGCTCTGATTGGTTCAGACTTGTGTCTAATTTCATCTCCTATGGAGATGTGTCAAGGCAACGTGTTGTTTGCTGAGCCCCCTTCTTCAGGGTCTGGTACCCTTTGCTATTTTCTGTGTGGCTGGTTCTTCCCTGATAGTCTTCTTAAGAAAAGTGTCCCCTGGAATTTTAAGAGGTTATGAATTGCTGGCCTGCTAAGCCCTGAAGTTTCTCAACCACCTGCTTCGTTTATGTGGGTAGTGTACACATCTATCTACAAGCGCCCAAGCTCCCTGAAGGCAGAAATCAGGTGATAACAAAGATGAGTTCCACAGATATATACTGAGTAAATAAATGAATGGATAAATGAGTAATGAGGAAATGCCAAAGATTCCTTGACATTTTATTAACTATTCAGTCACCTCTAACTTATGATCTCCATACCCCACTGAAAGTTGCCTTGCCTATCTCAGTAACACTTGGAATTCTCACAACAAAACGAAAGCTTCTAATACAGTGTTAAGCCAGCAAATCAGAGGAGACAGACACGCTCTGTTGGCGCTCAGACTTACGGAAGCATCGGCACTCTGCCACACGTGGGACACCCGGTAGCCCACCAGGTCCCCGTTCTGCCGCTGAATTGGAGGCTTGATCCACCTGACATCCAGCTTGTTAGCAGATTCATTCAGAAACACAGTGACATTCAAAGGTGCTACCGATGGGGCTAAAAGGAAACGGAGAGAAGGATGAGGAACCACAAAGAAAAGCACACAGAGACTCAGTCTCTTCTTGGTTTCTGAATGTTTGGTTTTCACACGTTCCAGGAAGGCACTCAAATGAGATTGAGACAAACAGCACATTTTCACCCCCTTTTCAATCAAGGGCCATTGAGATAGCACATGAGTTTGGAAAAGTCAGCCCTTTCCAAACTAAAAGATCAAGGAAGAGGAAGACAGGGAAGGCAGTATGGGGCAGGGGGTGCGGGCACCAGGACTCCCCCGGGGGAAGCAAAGCAGACACACTTGAACAGGGTCCTCCATCAGAAACCTGAGGGGCAGAAGGTCAACCAGACCAAGTGGACATGAAGTCTGTGTCATGTGAGACGCACACGGCAGGGAACTCCGCATACCTCAGAAAGAAACCACCACTTTAACGTCCAGAGGCAGGTGACCGATGGTCTGAAGAGAACTAGTCAGTCAGGACATTACTGTCTGTGTATAAGACGTCTCATTAGTGCAGATCCGAGGCTCAAATGTTAATTACTAGGCTAGGAGTCAGGGCACAGCGTTTGGCCTGGTTTTCACTCTCCTGTTTATAGTAGATTCTGCTAAGGCACACACCTAGTTATGTCAAGACATCATCTTCTCACAAGGATAATGAAAGTTAAAGCACTTTGGAAAGTATGTACATACAATGTATATTGGGAAACAGGTCAAGGTCACTACTACATTCTTTTTGGGAGGGAGGAACCTTGACTATATTTATCAAAATGGAAAATAGTATGTTCTTTTACCAAGTATTTTATTTCCAGGAATTTTATCTATAAAAATTCTCTTGTGGGTAGCATTATATTCATTGAAACAAAACAGTGACAAAAAGGAATAAATGTAGTTGTCAATAATAGTGATATAATGAATAAATTTTGATACATTTTTCCAATGGACACCTTACAATTTGGTTGGTAAAGAAAAAAAGGTAGATCACGTGTATTGATATGAAAAAATATCTAATGGAGGTAAAGATCAAATGGCTAAAAAGTATAACCAATGAGTATTTTAGAAATTTAAAAAGTGTTTTATATATATAAAAGAATAAAGACAATTGGAATAATATATACCACATTGTTGCCTGTGGTCGTATATTTCTAATACGCCTGACAGGGAAAGAAGAGGGAACCCTAACCTTCATCTCTGCTGGCCCAGGAGCAGTTGGGAGGAATTTCAGCACAGGACACATCATACAGCTGAAGCTGCATCTGTGAAATGACTCACACTTCCAAATCTGCTGTGGAATTTATGGATTAACGTGGCCCACTCAACATGTTCTTACATCTGCTCCTCTAAAGATCCCTCTATGATGATAGTAAGGAATTTAAAACAGTATAAACTCGTAAGGTTAAGAGGAGTCAATAGTGGAAGAGAAATTTCAACATATAATTGAAAGCTGAAAAAGAAACAAAGAAGGTGTAATTAACTCAGTAAGCTAATTCTCCCAAAAGCACCAGGAGAGACTCAGAAGCTGTGGGCCCAGGTATTCAAACTGGAAGACTGACAGTTTGATACAGAAGTTGTTAGTCCTTGAGATTCCTCTAACCTATTCCCACACACCTGGCAGTATCTCCCTCAAATTCCCACAGGAGGCAGGATACCTTATTGTATGAACTGAGATGCCTATGGACTCAAGAGTACCAATAGAATGGAGGCAGGAGAGGGGCTAGACTGGCAAGTGGGGAAATAAGTAAAAGTCTGTGCCCTGAATGAGGACGACTCCACCTTACCTGTCCTCCTCACCTGGCTGCTATTCATGAGGCAGCGAACAGGAGACTTCTTTTCTAGAGAAAGTGAGAAGTCGCAGAGGAAAGAAAACCAATATTGACACTTGGGGATACCCTAACCCACTTAAGGTCACTGCCCAATCACCTGACAGTGATGTCTACAAACCCCACCCACAGTCTCAGAGCATCCAATCAAATTGCTGGTTCTGCACTTTTCAGTAGGAGTGGACAGTGGACGATCAGCAGAGGTCAAGGAAGCGAGGACCAAAGGACACACATGGGAGGGGGTCAGAGGATACAGAGCCAATGTAGGGAACTGGAGAAAACTGAAGCAACAAACACATGATAATTAATATACCCAAAGATAGGTAAAGGTTCTCATACATGAGAATGGAAAAAGAAATTGTCAGTGAAATAGAAAACTCTTGAAATTAGCAATATGATAAAATAAAGTATTTAATAGAAGAATTAGAAAAGAAATCTAGCCAACCTCCAAAAGAGTGGAATAAAAATTTAAGAGGTCAATTTGAGAAAAGAAAATTGAGGAAGCCATCAAAGAGGTCCAACAACTGTCTAATACAATTTCTGGACAGAAAAACAGAACATTTTCAAAGAAAAAAATGTTTCAGAAAAAGTCTCAAAACCAAAACACTTGCATTTCTAGGTCAAAAGGGCCACTTAAAGGTCATGATGATGACAAACGAATTCCACATCACAGCCCATCATGGCCCCACAATTAGAGAAAAAGTATTTTAAAAAACAAATTAAACAGTTCATGGAGAAAACATATCAGAGTTCTCCACAGTAACTCTTGAAGATCAAAAACAACGCAGAAATACTTTTCAAATTTTGAGAGAAAATAATTTCCAACATAAAATTCTGTATTAGGAAAAACTATTACTCCAGTATGACATAAAGACATGCAAGTTCCCACAGTTTTTATATTTTATACATACTTTCCCTGGAGCAATACTTTCCCCTTGACAATGCATTCCATGAAAATGAGGGAGTGAACCAAGAAAGACAAACTCCTGGGAGAAGGCTATGGAGCCACGAGGATGACTCTGGAGGGAGACAGGAAAGCAACATATGAGAGAATTAAAGATAACAGTGCCTGGGCCTCACTCAGGGCTGGGAGTCGTGTCTGTTCTCCACTATCAGATGGGGAAATCTGACGAGTCAAGGAGAACCGGGCAGAGCACACACAGTGGTCTCATCTCACCAGTGAGTAAGAGTGGACTCAACAGAGTGAACACTGTTCTTGCCCTGCCTCACAGGTCTGAAAAGCAAGATCCAAAAGGATCAAACTCTTTCCAATAGTTTAACAATGTCCCCCCAAACAGCTTAATACTTACAGGAATATAAAAATACCTAGTACCCCACAAGGTTGAACTCACATTGTTAGGAATTCAGTCAAAGATTACTAGCTACACAAAGAAATTGCAAAGTCCTCTACCTAACACGAATATAAAATGAATCCATTAAAACTGCCCCAGAAATAACACAGATGTTAGAATTAGTGAGGACATTAAAATAGTTATTACAACTGCATTCCATGTGATCCAAAAGTTAAGTACAAACATGAAAGATACAAAAATTACAATGTGAGAGATGAAATACACACTAGGTAGAATTAATGGAAGATTAGATACCACAGAAGTCCGATAAATTTGAAAACATCATAGAAACTATCCAAAATAAAACAAAGAAAACCAGGGGAAAAAACTGAGTATCAATGAGTTATGAGGCAACTTCAAGTGATCAAATTCGAGGTCTGCCCGGAAAAAGTCCAGCCATTGTTAATATGACGAGAATAGTTTACATGACGTCAGTGTAACCTCGCAGCAAGGAGAATGGACCGGAATGCACGTGCATGAAAATGACGACTTCACTGTACTAGTCAGTGGGGGTTGTAGGCACCATTGAGTGACCATGTGTACTGTGTGGCCATCACATTCAAAATGACTAAGTGAGTAGAGCAACAAATATTCATCAAATTTTGCGTTAAGCTTGAACATTCCTTTCCAGAAACTATTTGGATGATTCAGAAGCCCGCAGCTATGGTGATTGGCAGCTTCATCACAACATTGCGCCTGCTCCTGCATCAGGTCTCATGCAGACTTTTTGGCAAAACATCAAAATCACCTATGTGACTCAGTCCTCCTACAGCCCAGAATTGGTGGACTATGACTTCTGGCTTTTCCAAAAACTAAAATAATCTTTGAAAGGGAAGAGCTTTCAGACTGTTGATGAGATTCAGGAAAACATGACATGGTAGCTGATGGCAATTAGGAGAACTGTGTGAGGTATCAAGGTGTCTACTTTGAAGGAGACTGAGGTGTCATTGTCCTATGTACAATGTTTCTTGTATCTTCTTCAATAAATGTCTCTTTTTCATAGTACATGGCTGGGTACTTTCTGGACAGATCTTGCATATATGTGATTGGAGTCCTTTTAGAAGGAGAGGGGTGGGAACAGAAAAAATATTTGAAAAAGCAATTGCTAAAGTCTTTACAAATTGGATGCAAACCATAAACACAGAGATCCAAGAAATTCAATGACCCACAAGTATAAGCACTATAAAAAAAAATTATGCCAGCTGGTGTGGCTCAGTTGGTTGGAGCATCGTCCTGTAAACTGAAAAGTCGTGGGTTTGATTCCCGGTCAGGGCACATGCCTAGGTTACAGGTTTAGTCCCTGGTTAGGGTGCATGGGAGAGGCAACCAATGATGTTTCCCACATTGATGTTTCTGTTTCTCTCCTACTCTTTCCCTATCTCCCTCTCTAAGATCAATAAGCATATCCTCGGGTGAGGATTAAAAAAATTATACCAAAGCACATCACAAATTGCTCAAAGTCAATAACAGAGGGAAAACCAGAGACAAATACATGCAGATACATTGCATACAGAGGAACAAATAAAGACTACTATAGATTTCTTAATAGAAATAATTCAAGCAAGAAGACAGTGATGCAAAATTTTTAAAGTACTGAAAGGTAAAAAAGAAAAATGAACCTAGAATCCTATATCTAGTAAAAATATCTTTCAAAAACAAAGGCAAAGAAATATATCAAAGGTAAAATAAAGATTTTCCTCAGACATGCAGAAGCTCAGCCTCACCAGATCCATAGTGTAAAAAATGATGAAGGCCTTTAGGAAAGAAAGTGATGCTGCATGAAAATGTGGGTCTATATCAATAAATGAGTAAAATTAGAAATAGTAACTTTATGGGTATATATGTTTTTTTCTAATTATATAAGTCACCCTAAAAAACTTACTGATTGGAGTTCTAGCCAAGATGGAGGCGTAGGTAGAAACCCTTCACTTCCTTGCACAACCGAAAGGAGGATAACAACTAATCTAAAATCAATAAACAACCAGAAGCACCAGGAAATCAAACTGCATGGAACTCCAACAACCATGGAATTAAAGAAAAACTCAACCAGAACAACCAGACCAGTAAGGTCGAGGTCAGCTCGGGGCAACTCAGAAAAACCGAGGCGAGGTGGCTGAGGGGCAGGGCTGGCTGCTGAGCTCTGTGGGTTGTGTGGGCAGGGCTGACTTAGGGGGAAAACTGAGACTCAGAGTTGACTGTGGGCTAAGGCTGGGGTTGCTGCAGTGGGAGTTTCTCCCAGTCTGACACGAGAGTTCGAGAGTTCCCTGAAAAGTGCACTAGAGACGAGCACTGTTTCCTCTGTGGCCCCTCCCCCACAGGCAGCACCACAGCAAGGAGGGTGGCCCCATCTGGTAAACGCTTAAGGCCCTGCCCCCTTACAACCTAGCAGCTGCATGGAGACAAAGAAATATGGCCCAAAAGAAAGAACAGAGCAAAACCTCAGAACTAAGTGATGAGGAGATTGCCAACCTATCTGATGAAGAATTTAAAGCCCTGGTAATCAAAATGCTCGCAACACTGATTCAGCTTGGTTGAAAAATGAAAGAACAAATAAAAGATACCCAAAATGAAATAAAGCAAAATATTCAGGGGACCAACCGTGACAGGAAGGGAACCAGGAGTCAAAGCAACGATTTGGAACAAAAGGAAGAAATAAATATCCCACCAGATCAGAATGCAGAAATAAGCATTTAAAAAAAAAATGAAGAGATTCTTACAAACCTCTGGGACAACCTGAAATGTTCCAATATCTACATTATAGGGGTGCCAGAAGGAGAAGAACAACAGTAAGAAATTGAAAACTTATTTGAAAAAATAATAAAGGAAAACTTCCCCAATCTGGCGAACGAATAGACTTCCGGGAAGTCCAGGAAGCCCAGAGAGTCCCAAAGAAGTTGGACCCAAGGAAGCACACAGCAAGGCACATCATAATTACATTACCCAAGATTAAAGATGAGAAAATCCTAAAAGCAGCAAGAGAAAAGGAGACAGTTAACTACAAAGGAGTTCCCATTAGATTATCAGCTGATTTCTCAAAAGAAATCTTACAGGAAAGAAGGGGCTGGAAAGAAATATTTGAAATCATGAAAAGCAAGGACCTACATCCAAGATTACTCTACCAGCAAAGCTATCATTTAGAATGGAAAGGCAGATAAAGTGCTTCCCAGATAAGGTCAAGTTAAAGGAGTTCATCATCACCAAGCCATTATTATATGAAACATTAAAGGGACTTATCTAAGAAAAAGAAGATAAAAAATATGCACAATTAAATGATAACAAATTCACAACTATCAATAAATGAACCTAAAAGAAAAGAAAAACAACAATAACAAAAACTAAGCAAACAACCAGAACAGGAACAGAACCAGAGAAATGGGCATCACACAGAGGGAGTTCAGTGGGGAAGGGGAAGGAAGGAATAGGGGGGAAAAGGTTCAGGGAAGAAGCAGAATAATTAGTAGGCATAAAATAGATGGGGAGAGAGAAAAATGGTACAGGAAACAGAGGACTCAAAGAACTTATATGTACAACCCATGGACATGAACTAAGTAAGGGAATGCTGGAGGGGGGATAAAGTGGGGGAATTGGGAAAACTGTAATAGCATAATCAATCAAAAATACTTAAAAACTTACAGATTGAACAAAAATAATCACAATGTCATGTGGATTTATAACGCATGTAAAACTAAAATGGATAACAGCAATTGTACAAATATCAGGAGGAGCACATGGAAGCATATACTGTTTGAAGGCTCCTGCACGACACGTGACGAGGTGTAACGTTGCTGAAGGTAAACAGTGATAAGTTAAACAGGTATGCTATCAACCCTAAAGCAACCACAAGAAAAACAGGAAGCAAGAGTCACAGCTAATAAGCAAACAAAGGAGATAAAATAGAGTAAAAATATTCCATTAACCCCAAAGAAGGAAGAAAAAGGGAACGATAGATAAAACAAATAAAAATGTGATAGATTTCAACCTAACTTTTAAACATAAAGTTTAAAGATGTAAATGAAATTTGCTATGAGCAAGACAATATGAATAATCACATTACGTTTTAATGGATTAAATACCCCAACTTAAAGGCAGAGATTGTGAATGGATTCAAAAGCAAGACTCAAGTACATGTTTCCTAAATGAAACCCATTTTAAATATGAAGATAGAATTAAGTTAAAAATAAGGATGAAACAAAGATATACCATGGAATGAGAAGCTAAAATGGCTATTATAATATCAGACAAAGTAGACTTCACAGAGGATATTACCAAGGATAAAGAAAATAATTTCATAATGATAAAGCAATTTATTAGGAGAACATAGCAATTTTAACATTTATGCAAAAAATAACAGAGCTTCAAGACATTTAAAACAAAACCTGCTAGAGAACTGCAAATAGATATAGATAAAACCACAGTTATAACCACAGATTTCAATGCTTCTTTCTAAGTAATTGATAGAAGTAGGAAGAAAATCAATAAAGATACAATTTGAAAAACATGATCAATCAACTTCAACAAGATGACATTTATAGAGTACGCCATCTAATACAAGCAGAATACACATTTCTCTACACGTGCACAGCAAACATTTATCAAGACAGACCATATTACGGACCATAAAATGAGTTTCAATGAATTATGTTCTCCAGACCCAACAAAATAAAATTAGAAATCAAAATGCAGATCTCCAGAAAACCCCCTAAATATTTGAAAACTAAGATACACACCTGAATAACTAATGGGCAAAGAAGAAATCAGAAAGTATTTTGAACTTACTGAAAATGGAACTCAGCGTATAAAAATTGTTCTCAAAGGTTTTCCTTTCTCATTTGAGAAAAGGAGACAACTTACTATTTAGGCACTAGCGTTCCATTTCTGCGAGCACTAAGCCCTAACAGTCTCTGATCTGGAAGTGTCACACAGTCTACGGAGACCAGCTCACTGACCGTGCAGGGCTGGAGTTAAGGGCACAGAAGAGGTGCTGCGTGCTCTAGAACTCTCACTGGGAAGAATGAAGACTGTGTGGCTCGAATGTAACAGAATTACAATATTTACTCCACTATTCATAGACAAGGAAAAAAATCTCGGAACTCAAAAACAGCACACAGAAAATTTTTTAAAGTGTAAAGATGTAAATGAAATTTGCTATGAGCAAGAAAATACAGAGATAACATCACCTACTGTGTAGGGCTGCTATGAGGATCTAATGAGACAATGCACACAGTGTCTGGTGAATGTTAGCCAACTTCAAATTCATTCGTTTTCTTGAGTTTGATGCTATGAGTAATAACATTTTTTGTTGTTATATTTTAATTGAAATAATATATGCTATAAAGAATGTGCTGCTATTAATATCTTCTTATACCAAAACATAATACCTATATGTAGTGTTTAAGTTTCTTTCTTATTTTCACTGGCCACCACAATAAAAATTTCCTCTGGAAACAAAGACCAAAGAAAGCAGTTTAAACTCTAAATCAGGCCACTGGGAGGGACTTGTTTAATCCCATGCCATTAGAAGCAATATACTGAATGCCAGGAATTACCTCCTTCGGTCGTGCTGGCCAGGATCCAAGGGCTCCACGCAGACCAGCCAATCTCATTCCTGCAGGACACGCCAATGCTGTAATTAGCCAGAGCTCGCAGCTGCTTGATTTGATACAGAGGTGGAGAAGCAGAGGTGTTAAAAATCATGATGGAGCCATTACTCAGAGGATCAACTTCCTTGACCTAAGTGAAGAGTGAAGAGGTGGACCCGGCATTAGTAAGGTAGTGGGAATGTCAGACGTGGGGCTCTCAGGCATCCCGAGCATGTGGCCCTTCCTGTCACAGAAAGGAAGTACTTGCTTCCTTCCAGGCCACGCACCAATGTCCCCACCAGCATTACTGACTGTTACTCATGCTGCCGGAGCAACAATGGAGGACCCGAGGAAGGACCTAAAATAAGTGTTCTCAGTGTGGCAGACAACAAAGTAAATAATTATCATTATATTAGGATTATTATAATACATGTTATGAAATAGCCCTTCCTTTCTCAGAACCACCTCAAGTCTTGGTTTCTTACAGCTGTTTCACAGAACACGCACAAAGTCAACAGACATGTGGTGACACGGCCTCCAAGGTGCTATTCAGACCTTTAAAGGGAACCTTTTCCGAACCTACTTTAGAAGATGGGATACTGGATTTTGTTTTAATCTGTATTTCTTTTCATCATGTGTCCTGAGGACCCTCTGCTCTTCCTTGAGGAGAATTTTAGTGTGTTTATTATTCTTTCCCCCAGTCCACCCCAGTATAAGTTCACTCCAAAAGCAAACACAGATAAGGTAGGCTTTATGACATTTTTTGGTGTGGAGACACAGGAAAGAGCCATTTATACCTCACCCAACAAACTTTTCTCCAAATCATTTTAAAACATATCAGCTCTCTCTCTGAGTTCCTTCTCTTTGCTCTTCCTTCCATAAACCCTGCCATCTCCCCACCTCCCTCTCTAGGTGCCCTCTGTCTGCACAGGCAGGGGAGGGGATTCCCAGCAAAAATCTCTCTTGGTTTCCTGAAGCATACCTCCCGTCTGGGAATGGGGAAACTGGGGAGTGTTTTTTCACCACACATTTAAAAAATTTCTATAAAATAGAGCACTTATAAAATCAGAAAGACAAAATAGTATTGAATAAAAAAAATAACCAAAGGCAATTTGGGAAAAAAATCATAAACCCTATATTTATTCCTGATAATAATAGGCTGGCAATCGTGGGGCGTGGATATACAATGCTGTCATTTCAGGATATAGGTGCTGAAATTTAGGCCAAGGAGCCACAGATAACATTTCTGAATTCCAAATCCACTAGCGACACCTCATGGGAGGTGCTGGGGCTGAGCCTGACCTCTGACTAACAATCAGAGACCTCACTGGGTGACAAGAAGCACCAGCTGGCCCGAAGAGCTACAGTGAGCTACTAGTTCATCTTGGTGGTGGCTATTGGCAGAAACCACTTTGTTTCTTCACTTTAGAGTAAGCACTTCCTTTCCGGTGACCAACCACATAAACTAAGGTGGAGGAGACCTGTGGTTCCCAGCCACCCATTTTGGGAGCAATGTGTAGAGCATTTCCAGGCACAAGACACCCCTTGAGAGCACGTTCCTGGAAGACGACAAGGTCTATTAACAGTCCTGCTCAGTGGGTCCTGGGGGAAAAGAGGGGATGAAACAGCAAGAAGTACATGGCAGAGTTAAAAATAGACCTGGAATATGCAGCCCAAAAATGGGTGAAGAAAGGGATTGGTGTCAGGACCTAAGGAAGTGGGAGGGCGTGTCCTGCTGCGGCATGGATCTGAATCTCGGCCAGAACATTCATTTGTTACCGAGTCAGAGTTTAAAACTGTAATGGACTCGGAACTTACTACAAAACTATCCTTGGTTCCTTTAGAAATGGAATATATTATTAATCTGCAGAATATAAATTTTAACTTCTCACAACAGTCCTGACTAACCCTGTTAGCAGTGCAGGAGAAAACAAAGGGCCCAGTTATATTAGGACCAGATGGCTTCTCCTGTGATTTCTACCAGATATTTAGAAAGAAGGAAGAACAACCTTCCACAAACTCTTCCAAGAAATAGTAAAGGAGGAACACCTATTTCACAAGGCCAATATCACCCACATAGTGAAACCAGAAGCAGCCAACACAAGAAAACTACAGCCCACTATCTCTTTTTGATATAGACACAAAGAGACAGCAGCGAGGGCTGCCCAGTGCTGTGACTAAGAACCACCAAACTGTATGCTTTAAATGAGTGAATACTATGGTATGTGAAATATACCTCCAAAAAAACTGTTAAGAAGTATTCCTAGTGAGGACTTTGTAGACACACCAGAATTCCTGACACTTACCAGGACTTGGGAGGTTTACAAGTGACGCTGGGCAAGGACTAAGCAAGGCTGGGGGTGGCAGGGTGCGGGTGCAGACTACTGGGGGGACAATGCGTGTTTTCCTTCTTCAAAGCAAGGGCAGCTGTTAGACAACAGTGGGAGGCAGTGAGGGGCGGGAAACTGATCCCATTTGGTATTAAAAACATCTGGCTGTCAACCCAAAATTCTTTGGAAGTCACTTCCTTAAGGTGAGTGGGTATAAATGGCCTGTGTCAGATTAACATGTTTTTGACTAATCAGACCAGACATTTATGAAACTAAGAACAAATCCTGACCATACTGTATGATAAAGTACCAGGCAGAACACATTTACGTTTTTAGCAGATAATCAGCATGCATTCACTACCTGTCCCCACACCCAATGTCTCTCCTGACACACGGAGGTGCAAGTGGCTCTGAGTACTGATAGTGGCATAAGCATCCCAGCCTCAAACCTGGTCCTGCCCCTCCGGTCTCTGGGCCTGCAGTGCTATGTGGGTTTCAGTGAGACAGCGTCTGCAAAGCCCCTAGGCTGTTTTAGGCACTCAGGAAACAAAGAGCAGGGTTACTTTCCAAGTTTACAAAACTAACACTCAGAGCAGAGATTACATCACGGCACGGAATCATTGTAGGATGGCTAACCTCTATTTTATACCAGTTTTAGGTAGTGTTTAAAAATGGGTGAACCCTTTGCAAGGCTTGTATGGCTCAGATTTCCCGGGCAAGGGGCAAAGTGCTACATTCAGTAGCAAAGATAACCCAGCTCTTGCCTTCATGCCTGTCCTTTATGGACACCAGCCCAGGAGAAGCCAGAATGACGAGTACCTGGCTTCCTGAACTCCTGGTCACAAGCCAGTCCTACTTTAGGGGTGTGTTTTTGACCTGGCCAAAAGTGATGTTCCCTGGCCTCACAGTTCCCCCTGGTTGGGCCCTGACCACTCATAGGAGGGAGGCAGCGTCCTGGGGCAGAAGACCATAGATGGTGCACACAGGTGAATGGTGAGGTGGGAGGAGGTCAAAGACTCTCAATAGAGGTGTTGAGATGTCCTCAGCGCCCATCCACAGGAGAAAGGAAAAGTCAGGGAGACCTACAGGACACCAACAGTGACTCCTTTCTGTACTCTTGAGGTTCGTTTACCTGAATGCTGCAATTGCTGAACTCAGAGTATCCATCAAAGCCCGGGACCCAGGAGATGAGGAGGCCATGTGCGCTCTTGTTGTGAAGGCTGACTTCAGCTGGTGGGGAAGGCAGGACTGCGTGAACACAAAGACACGCGCGCAAGCACAGTTAGAAAACACAGGAGGCCAGGCGGCCAAACAGGCACATTAATACAAAGCCTCTTTCCATTTCTTAAGATTAGAAAAATTAAACACAAGTTTTAAAGAAGAGCCACCCTATGCCTGAGGGCAACTGTATTAACCTACAGACAGGCTTTCCAGTGATGGGGTGGCTCTGCCTGGGGTGGGTGGGGGGACACAGGCCCGTTTCTCTGCCCACAGACGAAGGGAGAGCTTTTAGCTGGAAAGGATGTGGAGACGTCCATCTCCTTGACTGAGCTCACACCCACGGTTCTGCAGTGTGCAGGTGCCTTGCTGGGCGCTCCGTGGAGAAGGGACACAGCCCTGCTCTTGCGGAGCTCTTGCCTGAGTTGGGGTACCTATTGAGCAGAGGATAAGAGTGTCCTGTGCAGAGAAGAGATGGGTCCCAGGAGTATGTGTGTGCGTGTGTCTGTGTGTGTGCATGTGTGTTTAGGGGGACCATAACGAGTGTGCGATGACCTCGACCACACATGGGATGTGAACACGGATTTCAATTAGAATCTAAGAAGAATCTGAAGTTTGGGGGGGTCTTACTTTTTTGTGCTAAATTTAATTTTTTTTTTAGATTTTATTTATTTATTTTTAGAGAGGGAAGGGAAGGAGAGAGAGAGAGAGCGACATCAATGTGTGGTTGCTGGGGGTCATGGCCTGCAACCCAGGCATGTACCCTGACTGGGAATCAAACCTGCGACACTTTGGATCACAGCCCAAGCTCAATCCACTGAGCTATGCCAGCCAGGCTAAATTTAATTCTTAATTAGTCACTTTTAATAAAACATGATGACTGATGTTGTGTGCCTACTATGTACCCCACTTTATGGTCTCCACCTCATCTCATTATTATTGGAACCCTATCAGAGAGGTCGTCTTACCATCTCCATCCACAGACTCAGAAACTGAGGATCACAGAAATGAAAACTTGATAAAGCTCACAGAGCAGGGGAATGCAAACTGGAATTGAACCAGGTCTGCCTGATCCCAGGGCTAGTGTCCCTCAACAGGACACGGGAGGCTGGTTGAGGGGCAGTAAGCTGACCAGTGTGAGCACCAGCAGGGACTGGGCATCTGATCACCATTTGGCCGGCCGGCCGGATGGCCCAGGGCACAGCTGGGTGCCCTCTAAACTCAGTTCCCTCTTTCACTGCTGGGGCAGTAACACCACTCTTCCAGGGGCTGTGGTGCAGGTTCAAGGAGCTGACACGCCAAGGGCTGAGGGAGGCGTGGAGGTGGGGAAGGAAGTAACAGGATGGGCGGGAGGCCTGGGCCATGCTAAGTGCACACTGGGTGGCATGTTCAGTAGTTTCAGTTTTACCAGCAGATATGCAGCCTGGTGAGTGGGGGAGGGGGAGCATTTTGTTTGACTCACTCCCCCAAAATAGGTTAGCTGTAGAACTGCCATAAAATGCCTGCTTTCCCACATCAAAATTTGGCCACAGGCACTATAGTTAATAGCAGATTAGAAGAAGGGAGTCTTCGTTGCTTTGACAGAAATTTTTAAATAAATAAAAGCTGAGAACTTAAGTTTTGGAAATAGGGTTTATTTTTTAAAAAGCTGCGATCCTGTGAGAAGCAAAAATGAAAAAAGTATTCCACTTTTTCTGGATTTTTAGGATGTTTATACTTGATGAAAATGGCTTTATATATTTATGCCCACTCATGCATTTTTGAAATCACCGACATTTCCTCTAAAAGTGGCAGTGATGGGATTCGGAATAGAGGAAGGAAGTCATACAGCTCCTCCAGCGGTGATGTGCGATGGGCTCATTTTTTCCTCCCAACGAACTTTTAGAAAATGCCCCCTCATTAAGAACAAATACCGAAACACAGAATTTGCCTGAATTTCTGTGAGAGTGGGTAAGGCAGATGATTTGAAATGGGATAAAAAGGCAGTATTTACATTTGGGTTTTCCTTTCTTTTCAGGTTTCAGCTTTAAATGCCTTTCATCCCACAGAAACAGGAGGAAGAAGCAGCTGATTGGATTGGACTGTCTCCACATAAGCCTTCCATTACCTTATGTCCCAGCTTAAAGGAAGCAAGGGGGACTGGGAGGCGAGGAGAAAAAGACTGGAGCAGGAGAGGGACCCTGCCCTGCTCGCCCCCCAGCTCTGAGCAGCAGCAGCAGCAGCTGCCCTGGGGAGGGCAGAGCCCACTCCTGGACCAAGGACTCCAGCCGCCCCCACCCCAGGGGCTCTTCAAGGAGTGACCAGAACTAGTTCAGGCTGGAAGAGGGAAAAATGAAAACGGGGGCTGAGGTGCTGAAGGTAAACATTTCAGCCTATTTTCTTCTCAGACTGAGCAGAGCTAAACTGGCCAGTGTTTACCAAACTTATGTGCCAGGCACTGGTGTGAGTGCTTTAATGATATAATCTCATTTAGCCTTGAGAACAGGTAGGTTCTGTAATTACCCCATTTTACAGAGGGGACACAAGCCAGAGAGGTCAGGTGACTTGTCCAAGTTCACAGAGGCAGTCAGTAGGGACGCCCGGGCTTTAGCTGTCCCCCCGCACCCAACTCCCAAACACGCTCAAGGGACAGGCTCTGCTTCTCACCTTTGATGTTGACCTGTATGCCCTTGGACACGGTCAGCCCCTTGTCATTGTGGGCCTCGCAGCTGAAGACTGCCGTCTCGGTCAGACCTGAAGCGGAAGGAGACCGTGAGACCACCAGCAGAAAATCCGGCCACCGCTCCACAGAACCCTGCGGGTGTCTGGGCATGCTTTCACTTCCTGGTTCATTGCCTCAAGCCATACATGCAAAATTAATTTTAAAAGTGTTCTGATGTTTTGAAAAAGAAAAAAAAAAACACCTGGGATTAAACACTGCATACCAAGGCGCAACCAGGGGCCTGAGAGGCAGTGGTCCTCCATTCAAAGCCTTTCTTTTTCTCTGAGGGGGAGACGCATCAGGCAACAAAGCACTATCATTTAGAGTTTTAAATTTCTACAAGGAGGTGTGGGAGTCGCAAACCCCAATATCAAGAAAAGTGGTCTCGGAGGCTCCCTGTGTAATCCGCTGGGCTTTAGCTGCCCAGTACAGCACGGACACTTCACAGTTTCAAAAACAGCAGGATAAAACCCACAGTTTAAAGAATTTCAGATGATCTGTTGTAATGAGTCCTTATTTAATAGTAAAAAGTCACTCAACTCATTAGGAATTATTATACAAACATGGTAACAGTGCTAAATAAAAAGAAATTTTAAATTATTTCCAAAGCATGAAGATTCTGATTCATTAATTTTAAGTAGAAAGGAAGAGAGGTGATCCAGATATAATCCCACTTTCCAGTGAAGGAACCCGGGGAAATGGCTGATTCTCGGATGGGAGCAAGGCTGAGCCCGGGGCACAACACAACACAAACAGAGCATCACAGACATGCAGGCCCACCCACGGAGCGGGTGCGACAGACACACAGGAGCAACTGAAAGCACTTCCAGCGGCCACAACTGGAACAACATGAGCAAGAACAGAGAAGTGCCATTGGATTGTAACCTAAAGTGTAAAACAAATGCCCATGAGTCTACACTGATATAAATACACGATAAGAAGGGGAGACTAGGAAAACCTCCCCAAGAATTAACATGGGTGCTCTGCCCTCAGGAGGGAGCGTAACTCACCCTACTAAAGCGTGGGCCATGCACAGTGACTTCCTTCCAAAGAGGACAGTGTGGAAAGGAAAACAAAAGAAAAACTTTAGCCTGGAGAAACTGAAAAACACTGACTCACCCAGATGATCGAGGTCAATGCCAACGATGATAAGTCACGCTGACAGAGTGTCTCCTGGATACCCTGTGATGCCAGTGGCACTCCCCCTCTGCAGTCTTCCTCCTCAAACAGATTACCCAAGTCTACTCACAAGGAAAACCACGGGCAGGTCCAACTGTGGGCCAGTCTACGAACCTGTCCTTCCTCCTAAAAACTGTCAAGGTCACTCTGACAGCTGTCAGACAGGAGAGGGGTTGAAAAATGCAATGGGAGTAAGTAAAAAACACAAAACTTCAGAGACACAGACAATAGTATGGTGATTGCCAGAGGGAAGGGGGATGGGGGTGGGTAGAAAGGGGGTGTGAGGGGGTAAATGGTGATGGAAAGTGACTTCTCACTTGCAGTGATGAACACACAATACAATACACACATGATGTATTATAGAACTGTACATGTGAAACCAGTGTCATCCTAATCAATTCAATTAAAAAATACATTTAAAAAAACTGTCAAGGTCACTGAAAACAAAAACAGTTGGCGACACTGTCACAGCCAAGAGGAGCCCAAGCAGACCTGGCAACTAAACCCTGAATGAAATCCTGGAATAGCGAAAGGACTTAGGTAAAAACAAAGGAAATGTGAATGAGGTATGGACTTCAGTTAATAACACCGCACCAGTATTGGCTCATCAATTGTAACAAATGTGCCATATTAAGGTACAACAGGAGGGGATGGTGGGGGAGAGAATTCTCTGTCCCATTTCCACAAGTTTTCTGTAACTCTAAAAACTATTTTAGAAATTAAAAAGGTTACATTTTAAAAACACAGCCATATATACCCTCTGAAAACTTCTGTCTCTGGCAGAAAGGACAATCATGAAGTGGAAGAAGACAGCCAGACAGAATTCCTGAAAATACACCACCATTTGCTTCTTGCCTGAAAAGCTTGTTTTGTTTTCTTTTATGGATCTACTTGCATAGGCAATGTTCCCTCTGATATTTTTAAAATTCAAAGCTTGACAGGAATGAAGTAGTTAAATATTTAAAAAACCAAAAGGAACATGCTGCCAGGCATGAACCAAGAAAGGCCAGTGGCCAGAGGGCGGGAGTGGATCTAGGAAGAAATGCAAATCCAATCCCTTCTGTGCTGGTGCTTTTCCAGAGAGAGTTTGTCCCGAGTCTAACGCAGCCCCTGCGGCGGGGAATGGACCTCTGGGCCTCTGTCCTACTATCCTGTGGTGACCATTCACTTGCTAAAATAATATTATATCAGAAGCAGACATTTCAGGTATTTTAACTTAGAGAGTTAAAATGCATGCCTCCAGCCTAACGGAGGAGTATTTTCATTGGAGGAGTATTTCTGTCTGGCTGGAGGAAAACCCTATGGACTGCTAAGCTAGATCCTGCAGACAGCTGCAGGTGCCCAGAAGCTACAGCTCCAGGTAGCATCCAGGCTCTTTTCCCAGTTGGTCAACTCCTCTCAAGTCAGGGATGAGGCCACTAACAGCCTCTGTGGTAGTTTAGAAAATATTTACTGCACTTCGGAGACGTATTTCTTTCAAATACGCGAAGGCCTTGCCTCTGGGGTCTTTGTAGCTGCTGCTTGATTTCTGCCCAAAGAATTTTAAAAAATATGTGTAGCCTCTCACACATTTTCAAGTTTGCATGTTAAACTGTTCCTAATTTAAACAGCTGCTAAGAATGTAATTTCAGGTACCCTGAATACATCCTGACATTCTCTGGTAAAGCTCCTCTGAAGGGTCCGTGCACAGGAAGGCATGTGCTTTTCCAGAGGCTGTGTGCTGTGCGATGCCGTTAGGTCTATTAGCTTTTGAAAGAGCTTGTGTATCCTTGTGTTAGAGAAGTTTTCAGTTTTGATTTCTGATTCAGTACGTATCAACCGAGAGAATTCACATAACCCAAACTCACATAACCTGGGTTCTCAATAATTTTTAAACTTTAATTTCACAGGTATCTTGAGACCAAAGCGTCTGAGAACTGAGGCCCCACAGTGACTTGAGATAAGTCTGAGCGGGTCTCTTTTCTTTTGTGAAGTGAGGGAGCAATGATATGGATGCAGGAAATCAGAGGGACAGAAGAGGTGGCACAGCACCTGGACTTAGGCACTTTGTTGAGCTTGGATTTTAGGAAAGATGACACCCTGGGTGAGGATGAAGACACAGACCCCTCTAAGCCACCTTGGGGCCCCTGTGACACTTTGCTTCTCATGCTGAAGTATCACTTTCCACTTTCCAGTTGTAAGCTCCCAACCAACATGTGCATGTTGCAAGGCGCCATGAACTTGCAACACTTGACTTATATTTAGAAAAATCAGCTTTGGCTCAATCAGAAGACACAGGGAGTAGCTTTTTTTTGGGTGCTTGAGCTGACATTTGCAGGCTAAAGCCAGTCACCAGAATTCAATGACTGTTGCAAGTTCCCAGGTTCTCTTGGGAAACACTTGAGAACAAAGCACCAGTCACATTCTGGCCGTGAGGGAAAAGCTGGCCCTTCCGTAAACCAGGGGGACGAGTGGGTTTCACTGAGATGCAACCTAGCGTCCTTCAGGCCTTCAGGGTTTATCGATGCAGGAAGTAGAAGTGTTTATCATGGGACATGACTCCAGGTTAAACGGGAAGTCCATTTTCCTCTTTGTGTTTCTTGTCAGAGTGAACACAAAGTCAGGAAAACCATCTGTAGCAAACTCCCTGCCCCCCACCCCCTTTCAGAACCACCCAGACAGAGCCAACCACTGATGACAGCAGTTCCCAACAGATGCTCCGTACGTAGGTGCTGGCAGAGAGAGTGGAAGCTGGTCCAAACCAGTGAACTTTCTCCAAAACTAGATGGGCACTGGGGCCAAGTACAGTCTTCTTTGCTTACTGTATGTTACACTTCTTTTGGCACAAGCAGCCCAACGAGAGAGACTCACTCAGCCTGGGGTGGACACAGCAACGGGTGTGCCCAGGAGAGACAGCTCCCTCTCACTGTCCGGCCTTCCCTCTGGGGGAACACAAACCACCAGACTGGAATAGACCTGCAAGTTCTATACCCAAACTCTGTGGCTTTCCACGGAAAAAATGATCCAGCCCTCAGTCTCTGCCCTACCACCCACTCCACCCCCTGCCACCATGCCCCCCACAGTGCCCCAGCCCCCTGCACATCCTCTGCCCAGGCTGTCCCTGATTCCATTAAATTGCACCCAACCCCAAGATGGCTCAGGCCCCTCTTGCCTGGTTTTCTGCTGGTTTAAAAGAAAGAGAGCCTCTGACACAAAGTCTGAAAGATATTTTAAGGAACATTCAGTCACAGGATGTTCCCTTGAGGAAAGGACATTCAGAACTGCTGAGGGAGCAACTTCTAAGAGCACAGTTAGGCCAATTCCTTGAGTTCTGGTTTAAGCAATTCAGTCCTTTCATCCCCGCCGCCCCCCGCCCCCCGGGGTCTATCTTTCTACCAAAAGAAGCAAGAAACAGAAGAATATGCTGCATGACGGAAGGAACTTATGCTCACTAACTCTGAACGCACTGTTTGCCCTGAATTCATTCACTTACCTAGTTCTTACTGTGTACCAGACATTTTTCCAGGCATTGGGGGCGTGTCCACAAATAAAGCAAAAGCCTCTGCCCTTACACATCTCACATCTCATGTAGGACGTGGGCGAGAAACAATAACCTCTTCAGTAAGTGTGCCCTTAGAAGGTGATCAGTACTATGAAAAAGCAGGAGGGGCTCAGAAGGCCCGAGGTGAGTGGAGCAGTGGGCTGTGATTTTAAACACGTGGGTCAGACTGGTTTCTTGAGAAATGTCCTCTGAGGAGAGTCAGAGTGAGGGAATGGGCCAAGTTTTCACTGGAGGCGACGGCACGGTCTCGGTAGAAAAGCAGGTAGGGCAGGCCTTTGCGCTGTCCTCTAAGTAGAGTGGGAAAGCTGGAGC